CATAGTAAAAAAAAGATATATACAAACAATTCTGTTTTTTACAAGATTATCCCTTTTAGAGCCTCATGCCACATGGCTGAAAGGTTTGTTATGCAGTATATTGTGGGCATAATACCAGTAGTATTTCATGTTGTAAATGATCTCACCATGACACTAATTGATGAAATGATAGAGGCCCAACAAGGGGAATTCTGGACCCAGACTTGTGTTGACACCTCAAGCTATCTAAAGAAATCTTTTGATCTCTGGCAGGTTTGGCTGTTAGCCAGAAACTGTTTAAAGAGAGCCCATAAGGGGCTATTGGGATTCTAGACCGAACTATCATCTGTGTAGGAAGGAGCTTGTTGAGGGGGAAATAAAGTCTATTTTAGGGTAAACGGGCCGGACTATATTTTTGTTCTTGTACTCTGAGCCTGCTAGGGGAGTAGAAGACCCGGTTGTGGTTCAGAGGATGTGAAGGAGGTAGAAAGCCCCCATTGTGGTTTTGGGCCTGTTCGTGGTGTAAAAGCTAAGGATATATGTCATCGAGTAACTGACTGCTTTAGCGAGAAAAGACCATTTGGCAAACCTAAGAAAATGCTATAAAAACTAGATGGTGTATTTCTTGGCTGTAGTTGCCACCACCTGCTACTAGTTGTAGTGCCTCACACTTTATGAATGAATGAACACACTGGCATGTTTACCGTGTGCATTAGTCTTTGTTCAAATGTCACGTTTAAAGGGTAGGATTTCTCAAAAATCTATTTGTATTTTGTTCATTTGAGATCTATTGTATTTGGTTACAATTCATTCAGTATTGAGTTACTATTATGTACATATGCTAAATATATGTTAGGGTACAATGGTATATTAGGACTAACAATAATAGGTTGTTTTAGGTTTCACCCTCTCTACCAGTAAAATAATAATTGAATTGTTCTAGCAGAGGATTCTTAAATTTCTTGCTGCAGGCAGCTGTGCTTTCTTGTTAATGAAATAAAAACTCAACGACAAGTTATTTCTGGTCTTGGTGCACAATTCTATATTCTCTAAGGTGTGTGTTGTTTTCTATTCATTTTATTTTACAGAAATCCTGCATAACAGGGGGAACATTATTATTTATCATATAACCACTCATCGTTTAATGGCATTAAAAAGCAGTTTTGACAAGAGACTGAAATAATGCTAACAATCCCCACCTTTACCAGGGACAGTATATAGAGGGGATTGGCAACTCTGCCCCAGTCAAGATTCTCTAGCACGAATCTCGCCGAGATGGGAGTGTTTTGATAATGGTTAGCCCTGATTGGGACTGTGTATTATTAGTAGGTCTTCTTTTTATTCCAGGGATAGGGCTATTGTGCCACTATGTCTAGCCTTTCGGCTGTGTTGGTGGCTATTACAACAAAACACATTTCGTAAAGCACGTTCCAGTGAAAATAATGCTAATATTGACACTTTTTGACACAAAAACAGCACAAGTTATTTGTTATTTTTTGCCATAAAATTAGTACTACATATCAAAAAATTATTCAACTTTCTATCGCTGTACATTTCAAAATGAAGTATTTTTTAAAATGAGCTGATCCTCGAATGCAGGCGATACTTTTTTGTTGGGTTTAACATTTCCGGTTGTTTACGTTGTTTAACAACACGTGTCCTTCGTTACCAGACGAGTTATTTCATCTGTGACATTGCTATCGTTCCAAATAATGCAAATCAAATCAGGCCTACTTAACATAGAAATTACTCTGCTGTTTATTGATATTAATTGTTTTAAAAAATATAAACGATAGTTTATAAAATAGATCAAAACAGTGAGCAGTCACCAACTACTTTCGCAATAACGATTTACGTTCCCGTGAAAAATAATGCTGATATTTACTCTTTTTGACACAAAAATAACACAAGTTAAATTATATTATTTGCAATTAAAATGGGTTGGGTCGTTATAAAAATTATTCAGCTTTCTATTGCTGCTAATTTAAAAAAGATCAGTCAAATATTTTTGGAGTGAGGTGGTTCACATACATGTGGGGTTTTTTATCCCGCATTTTTGTTTACTGTTTTTAACAACACGTGTCCTTCGTTACCAGACGAGTCATTTCATCTGTGACATCGCTATAGTTCCAAGTAATGCAAATCAAATCAGGCCTACTTAACATAGAAATTACTCAGCTGTTTATTGATATTAATTGTTTTAAAAAATATAAACGATAGTTTATAAAATTTAATCAAAACAGTGAGCCGTCACCAACTACTTTCGCAATAATGATTTACGTTCCAGTGAAAAATAATGCTGATATTTACTCTTTTTGACACAAAACTAACACAAGTTAAATTATATTATTTGCAATTAAAATGGGTTGGGTCGTTAAAAAAAACTCAGCTTTTATTGCTGCTAATTTAAAAAAGATCAGTCAAATATTGTTGGAGTGAGGTGGTTTACATACATGTGGGTTTTTTTTATCCCGCATTTTTGTTTATCGACGCCCACCACAATACTCTGAACCACGCGTTACATCGCGTTTAAAAATAGAAAAATATACCCCAAAAACGAGACATCAATTACTATGATACCACAGATTTTATCAATTATAAGTAATACAACCAGCTTATAACAATGGGATAAACAAAAGACGTAAGAACACTTATCGCGATTGGTTTGTTTTCACGCCAACTTCTGTATCTAACGAAGCGGTACTGACGCCATCTTGCTTTGTCAAAATTGAGATAGGTGGCGCTCGCTATCTGCTCCTGAATCAGGGGGAGGTAAGTCTAGATTGACCTGTCATAAAATTGGTAAGGCGAAGAGGGAGTTGCTAATCCCCTTCACTATACGTCCCTGCCTTTACTGATGTTTCAGATAATATGCTTGCAAAATTTCTTCATAAAAAGCTGAAGGCAAAAAATATTAATAGAAATTATTATTTTTGAACTTTAATTAGAAAGTGATAACTAAACACTGATTCCTCTTTGTTATATATATACTCTCTGTCCCTTTGTGGTAGTGGCTAGCTGTATACTACTCCTGTCTAGACATTTCTACACAGGACCGGTGGATCTGGGCCTCGAAGGGTTACACATACATTGCACTGGGTGATCTGAGGTCGCTGGAGTGTGTAATTTCCGGAGGTGGGTTTCCGCCTATAAAGCTCCTGTCTGAGATGAGAACACCTTGATAAGGATAGAATTACTCACAATTTACCAGTAGGTAGTACATTATGACCGAGTCCTGAGCTTATCCTAAAATGTAAATATGAAACACTGCTACTAGTTCTTGGTAGGTGGGGATTTTTTTGCCAAAATGTTTTTATTAATGAATTTCTTGAACTGGAATAATCAAATTCAACTGTCGTATATGAAGCAGTTGTAATCATTTTAAATTTAAGGTAGAATATTGTTACCTTTTGAAGATTTTTTCCCCTATTAAATTTGAGAACTTGGGTCAATTTCTATATCTGACCCTATGAGGGTGAAATACAACATGAATGAACCAAACTGTTACAATTTTTGTTCGAATTGCTTTGGAGGTCTACGATTATTTGATTCTACTAAATTAACTTACCCTGTTGGGTCCGTTATAAAGATTTCGGGTAGAATTTTGCATGTTGATCTAAGCTAGTAGTCCTGGAGTTAATAAATAATAATAAAAAAATGAATTGTGAACATATTCTAAAGAGAACCAACGAAGTGGAAAGACAGATATTATCTTCTGACCTACATAATACTTGTACTGCTTTGATCATACCGTAATTTCACGCAAGAGTTGTGAAGTATTTTAAATGAAATCAATAAAGAACTAGGCTATAACAAGCTATCAAGTTGGTGGATATCGTGTAGATAATCAGCCTTTGAAATTTGTTGATACAAAAGAATTGGATGTAATTGGGCTGCTGTTCTATATAACAGGAAGTGTTAACGGTATGGTTGAACTTGTCATCAAATTGGTGCGACTTTATGATTATATATATAGAACACGATTTGTTATAAAGTGATTTTCCTGTTATATATATATATAGAACACGATTTGTTATTAAGTGAATTTACTGTTTGATGGACAGTGTTAAGCATATTTCTGTACTGGACCTTTTTCTTTTCCGACTGGAAACATAAAAAAAAAGTTCACAAAATCTGTTTAAAAAAAGCTTGGGATTAATATGTGAAGGGCTTATCTGGTTACTTACGGTAAAATGCAAGTTGACAATAAAAAATAACATTGCTTTGTGATACAAAATCGATTTCACTCGACTCGCATGCGCTTTCAAGTCTGGTGGCTACAGTTACACTTATATTTTCAGTGGGATTTTTCTGTATTTCAACAAGAGCAGTGAAGAACTGCGTGCAAGTCCAGTAGAACCTAAATATAAATATTTTACCATTCCAAATATTGCAAACAGAAATGGTCTCCAGTAAACACTTCTCTTCATCAGTACTCCACTAATTAAGTCTTAGTTTGCCCCAAATTTGAGAACCGTTTACATCCTCCGTTCCTGATGCTGGTGTAGATACTGGCAAAGTTCTGAGGAGAGAATCGTGTGTTTGCCAGGCCGTACGACGCCAAGCCAGTCAAATTCACACCAACTGTCTCGCACTGGTCTGGAGCAGCTACATATATCATTTATACATCATACAACATCCCCAATGAACACCATCTAAATCACCGTTGCATCAAAATTGGAAAAAGATGCTGTGCCCGTGCGCAATTGTTCAATTATTTCATGCTTGTGATTTTATATTCTGAGGATTCTGTAGCAAGTTCGGTTAACATTTTATTTTTTGTTATAAAATAGACAAAAAATGCAAAGGAATGTTCATGACATGCAGGGAAAAGTCTTGATTAAAACCCATTTGTTACTGAAACGATGAAAACTATTTCAGAAACTCAAGCGCAAGATCTTTCATATTGAAATGTAGCTATAGTGAAAATTTTAAACTTTCAAAAGCGGTAGTGAATTGCAGTTAAATGTTAATTTGAAATTTAACTTTCGGTTTAAAAAAAAATGTTTTGTATTTTTCAGACTCAAGGAGAACCTGATTTGAACCATGAGTACTTACCAGATGAACTCAGGAGGGGGAGGCGGCAACACCAGGATGAGTAAGTTATCAGGGAGTGGCTAACCTTGGGGGGCAGGTAGGATTGCATATGGAGCAGGGGGGCAGGATCACATAAAGAGGGCAGGGTCACAAAATAGAAAATGTGTGGCCTCAACAAGGTGTAGGGTCAAACAGTTACACATGGTTGACAAGACAGAATTTTTAGGAAAAAAACCCTTTTAGTGTCCTCTTTACAAATTTGTTTATATACTAAAATATTGCCCTGAAGGAGCCTCTTGTGGGATGACTTCTACACCAAGACAGAAATGTCATCAGTAGGCCCCCTGGGGGTATTAATATGGTGGCATCATTTGTAAAACATACGTCTGAGGTAACTAGACACAGCGTCAGTACGCCCTGGCTAATTGAATTAGTGCTCCAACCAAACAGCCTATGGGAACGGAACCAGTCAAGGGTGAAAAGGGCCTAGCAACATGAACAAATGATTATCTCCCCTTGGGAAAAGGCTGTTAGGGTGGAAGTTTACTTCTAAATGAATTATATTTATATTAGAGACTGTATCCGAGACATCTGTGGAACCATCAGAGAATTCATCTAACTATTTATACTGCAAATTGGTTTGAGTTAACATTTAACAAAATAAATGATTTATGGTATAAAACTGCTATAAAATGTGCCATGGATTGGTCGTGCTTGTGATGTTTTGCATCATACAGGAATCATTTTCCCAAACATCCTGGCATGTCCGCTATGTTACAAATGTTCGAATGAGCAGCCTTCATGTTGGTGAAATATCCACATCATGCTATATTTATTAAGTTACAATCAATTGAGTTAAATTTATTTGATCAAGTTAGCTTTTTACTCAACATAGAATTTAATCTAAAGAATTCTAGGTTTTGAAATATAAGCAAGGAGGGTATAAAGGGATTAGAAGGAAAATCTTCACCTTATTTGATAAATTAAGTATTGTTATTGATTAAAAACCATGTTATTATGGATTTTGTTATGGATTGCAAAAATAATCATAAATCATGTTATCACCAATAATATCAACCAACCTTTATTTAATAGAGCTAACACTAACAGCAGAGGAAATGTAAACATTCATATAGTCAGAATAAAATCTGTATTATTCCTGGATATAGAAAATGGCCCTTGTACAGTACCACTAATGCTTTGTAACAATCTATTTGGAAATTTCTTGAAAACCTAATTTTTAAACGAGTTCACTTCAATGCAAAATAATGATTATAAGTCAATAGCTGAAATTTTGTTTATAGAGAAATTTGGACAATATTTTTTTAAAGGTTTTAAAATTGAATTTCAATTGAATATAAATTTATAATTTCCATTGTTTTATTTATTGCTGAGGTACATCTCCAAACTACCTTTATAAGGTCACCATTGCTTTGTACAAATGATAGAAGGTAGCCATAGTGTCACTGATGTACAAATGATAGAAGTTAGCCAGTGTTACTGATGTACAAATGATAGAAGTTAGCCACAGTGTCACTGATGTACAAATGATAGAAGTTAGCCACAGTGTCACTGATGTACAAATGATAGAAGTTAGCTATAGTGTCACTGATGTACAAGTGATAGAAGTTAGTGATGTACAAATGTATGGCTTTTCTAAGAAACAGATTTCTGTAATTATTTGATAGTGGAAGCTGTTCAAATATGTCTGTCTGAACTGTAAATGTACATCTTTTATCAATAATCTTTTTGAGTGGTTTTCATAGTTATTTCACTGAAGTATGAGTGAACCAATTGAAGTTCTTTCATATATTGCTCTCTATCGCATATTTTCTGGTGGCTTCACTACATCAATAACTTGATGATAAGCTAAAATTTGAGTGTGTGAAAATAAGGAGGTATACATCTTCTGAAGTGTATGCTACAACCATAATTGTATTGTGAAAGCAGTATTGCCACCTTTTATCCTAGTTCCAAATACATGTGTACATGTAATATGTAAAAAAAAGACTGTTAGGTTATTAAAGGGAGGTAAATCTGAACTTTAAAAAAAGCACTCAAATTTATACAAATGTCTTTTTGAAAAGATAAAGATGATCATTGAAGCTTTATTCTGTTATGTTGTTACTTGAATTGCCATATTTCATCATTTCTGACAAAACATGGAATAAAATTTTACTTAACTGGACTAGACTATTCAAAAGGCTCCTGTGCAAATTTGAAAACAGTTTCAGTTTTGCTCTCCCAATTAAAATAATTTTACATGAATAGGCAAATTGTGGTGTTATGATTATCTAGAATTGGAACTGATTTTCAAGAAAAAAATGTTTTAGTTCAACAGTAGTTGTATTTATTGTAGTAAATTGGGCAGCAGATATTACGTTGACCTTATAAACATCACATTTTATGCTATAACATTAAATATTTACAGTGAATCAAGGAGGTGGAAATTACATGGATCTTCCTGACATGCGTGAAAACAAACAACAAGAGACGATGATGTGGTCACAGAACACCTACATGCAGGATTCTGGAATCCACTCGGGCGCCACCACCCAAGCTCCGTCAATCAGCAGCAAGGGAGGCGGAATGAAGGATGAGATGGAGGAGCCGACCGCCACCCAAGACAACATGGAGACCTCCAGGATGATGTTCGACTGGGACCAGAGCTACAACCCTGGTTACACCCAGGAACAGGTTGATGGTATGTATTTCTCTCCAGACAAAACAAGGTCCATGATTGTCATCTTTCCAACAGAAGGTCAAATGACAACATTACTAGTACATATATATAGACAAACGTTTCAAATGCAAAATGAATCGACAGAGCATATATATATTTGTTGTCATGGCGACACTATATCATGCGACTATGATCATAGTTTTGGTTCATTGTACAAAGTCTGTCGGACAGTGTGGTGTAGCATGATTATGATTCTCTCCTATAAAAAAGGTTAATCGACTACCGCTGTTATTGTCTATGTAGGATTGCTTCTGGAAATTTGGACAGACATTTCAAACATTCCTATGCACAAGGATAATTCTGAAATTTCAAATAGTTCTTTCAAAAATTGTTGCAGAGGCCAATTTTTTTCAAATATGAAGACTGAACTTCTGTAATAATTTACCTTTTAATAATGTGAAAAATGTTAAATGAAGTGGATAATCACTAATATTTACAGAGGTGAGTCGTCAGCTGAATCAGACACGTACACAGCGTGTGCGGGATGCCATGTTCCCAGAAACCCTGGACGAGGGCATGCAGATTCCATCCACACAGCTTCATCCCGATGAGCCTACAGCGGTACAGAGACTGGCAGAACCATCACAGATGCTGAAACATGCCGTCATTAACCTGATCAACTACCAGGTAACTACTACTGCTGTGGTTGACATTTACAGGCCTAACTGCAGATGTTGTAGATCATCAATTTTTGGTTTCTTGTCTCTTGTAAACTAAGCTTTAACAGCATAAGAGCTGCAAATTACTCCAAATGCAAGTGAAAAAAGTCATATAGTTTCTATTTTTCTTAATGCAAATTGAAATTCTTGCAAACATGTTGTTAGAAGAGCAATGTTTAAAATAAGTACTGCAGACGTTTTTGGCCTTGTTTAACTCGTTCACCCCTGAAGACACATTTGAACCCTTCCAATTCAAAGGTTGGAATAGTTCATTATGAAACTTCAGGGGTCAATGAGTTAAGGTTGTCTTTTCACCTTCCGTAACGAAGGCAAATTTATCATGATTAGGAAAATAGTTGTTACAGAACATACCATTAATGTAAATAAATGAAGGGCATACAGATTAATATGGATTGAACTTGCAAAAGTGTCCTGGTTAGCAGTAAATATGAAGACTAAGTGAACTGATTAACTTTGTTTTCTGTATTGCATAAATATCTTCATGTTTGTTTTATGAAAGGATGATGCTGATCTTGCCACAAGGGCAATCCCAGAACTGACCAAGCTTCTGAACGATGAAGATCAAGTTGTGGTCAGTCAGGCCGCCATGATGGTCCATCAGTTGTCCAAGAAAGAGGCTAGTCGTCATGCAATCATGAACTCGCCACAAATGGTGGCGGCTCTCGTCCGCGCCATGAGCAACACCAATGACATGGAGACAACCCGGTGTGCAGCTGGCACACTCCACAACCTCTCCCATCATCGACAGGGACTGCTGGCCATATTCAAATCTGGTGGAATACCGGCACTTGTCAAGTTACTGAGGTAAGGAAGAGTGATTGGTTTCGTTGTTAAGCGCTGTTCTAGAATTAAATAAAGGGAAGGGATGGGAGGCCCCGCCACCCATAAAATTAGAAGTGATTTAATGTAGGGAATAGTAGGCAGATCTGGTTTTAACCTGAACAACCCTGATATATTAATACAGGTGCTTCCAATCTCCCCTATGCGATGAATTATGGAATAGCCCTAAAATGTATCGTTAACGAATTTGATCAGATTTCATGTATAACTTTCCCAAAGTTATAGCTTGTTGTACTGTGGGAAACATCTAGGTGGCTTTTAAAATCTATTCTTCGATACATTTATAGAATATCCGTGTGCGGTCAGTGTATTGATTGTGAACCTTTCTGTTTCAGCTCGCCCATTGAATCTGTCCTATTTTACGCCATTACTACACTGCACAACCTTCTCTTGCATCAAGACGGATCCAAGATGGCGGTTCGACTAGCAGGAGGTTTACAAAAAATGGTTGCATTGCTTCAGAGGAATAATGTAAAATTTCTAGCTATCACCACAGACTGTCTACAAATTCTGGCCTACGGCAACCAGGAAAGCAAGGTACATGAAGTGAATGACTCTCTCGTAGCAAGTGCAACTGATGTTCTCTGCACCTAACGCAAATTTAACCTGTGTGCCCCTCTTTAGATTTTACCTTCCAACATCATATCTTGGGTATATTGTTTTGCTGAAAAGATGCATGTCATCGAACCCATGGATTTCGAACATAGGTCTGACAGTATCAATATGCCCTACTATGGAAGTCGGACAACATAAATCTTAGTTGCTCAAGGAATGAAGTTTTACAGATCTATGCGAAAGAATTTGGTCAACCTTCTTAAAGTGTTGATAAATTCTGAATTCGCGAAGAAAAGTTTGTAATTTCTGATAATATATATTATATTCTGTAAAGGCTTCGAAATGAAACATTCTCAAAGTCATTCAAATATCAATTTGACCATCATGTATTTAAATGCATACCATTTCAGAATTCCTTACCATTTGGTAAATACCAATTATTTTCCAAAGTTAAATAGAAAATGACGATTTCAAATAAACTTCCCGAATCGTGCTACATTTACTGTTCTATACAGGTGTAAACATTCTATTGCTTCCTTTTATTTTGTTCAATGCTGATTTTGTCATTTATTTCATGATCAAACAGAAATGTGAAATTTTGACTTTTTTGTCTTGCAGCTGATAATCTTGGCAAGCGGAGGCCCTGGCGAGCTTGTGCGCATCATGCGTTCATACACATACGAGAAACTGCTGTGGACCACATCACGAGTCCTCAAAGTTTTGTCTGTCTGCTCCAGTAACAAGCCAGCTGTGGTTGAAGCTGGTACGTATGTCAGTTACTCTGAATGTCAGTGCTTTATCTGGAAATTAATTTTAAAGATAATTCATGAGAAAACCTGTTTGCAAATTCAAATCACCTTGGAGAAACTGATGCTACTGATAAGAACTACCAATATTGACTTGCTTTTGTCTAAATTGTAATTTCAAGTATTTGCAAATGAAACTTAAGAACTAAAAAAAGGGGGATCAATAGTACCCGGAGTTATAACTAGTTTTGCCTTGTTCCTGCCCTGAAAATTATTGCAAATTAAAGATGGGACTTTTCAAAAAAATAGCAAAACATCATATATTGAATTAAAAAACCTGGAAGTTGTTAAAATTGAATGGTTCTAGCTTTAAATTGACCAAATTAAGGGAAAATATTGAAATATCAGAAATGTGAGACATTCTGTGTTTTTTTCTTCACGTATAGGAGGTATGCAGGCTTTGGCCATGAACCTTGGACACCAGAGTCAGCGCCTTGTACAGAACTGTCTCTGGACGATCAGAAATCTGTCGGACGCCGCCACCAAATGTGTAAGTATATTGTGTCATGTTAGAGAAAGTTAAGATAATTTGAATGCAATGGACAATCGCTTAAAGTTGCTTAAAAATAATATTGTGTTTATAAATTAGTTACAAAGTTGACACTTGTGAATTGTCTCACAAAAAAACCCTATTATGGTATTTAAAGATACAAGAATATACAGAGTCAATGCCATGACAGTGCTTTTGCATTTAACCATGTAGCATTTCTTGACATAATCAACTTTTATAAAATGTAAATTCTTGTTATGAAACAATGGGTTGTGTACCAAGTACTGAAAATCAGTTATGGTAATTTTCATTCATATTTTTAACTTGTTCTAGATGACCTTAAAAAAATTTCATTATCAATAATACAAGTAGTTGTCAGCTATAGATGGTTATAATTGATTGTTACGCTTCTCTCGCTCCTGTAGGATAACCTGGAAGGACTTCTCAAGATGTTGGTACATCTCCTGTCGTCCAGTGATCTCAACGTTGTCACATGTGCAGCAGGCATTCTCTCGAATTTGACCTGTAACAACCAGATGAACAAGGTGATCGTGTGCCAGTTAGGAGGAATCGAGGCCCTCGTACGAACCATCTTACAGGCTGGGGACCGCGAGGACATCACAGAACCAGCAGTAAGTTAAAATACTAGTACAAAAAGTTTAGGTGCATTTATTAAGAAATAAGGGTTATTTTGAAATGGTGTTGAATAGGAATCGAGGTTTATAATAATTGATTGTAATGGTAAAACATTTATTGTTCAGCATTTCTGAGAAAAAATTTGACTTCCCCCCCCCTCCCCCCCCCCGAGTCTGATGTTTCACACATTCTTAAACTCAACTTTTCCCATATTGTGATGATTTTGGTAGGCCTTCAATAAGAAACGAATCTTCCAACTTCTATAAAAGGCCATTTATCACAGATTTCTTCATATCAGATTTAAAAAAGTGAATTGAGATCCGTTACTGTACCTGGATTATACCCATCAAACGTGTACCTCTAAATCAGTCGAGCAATATCGGCAATTAACTGTTTAGGATCCTCCTATGCAATTTCACATTCATGTTTTAAATTTACAGGTGTGTGCCCTGCGCCATTTGACAAGTCGCCATCAAGAGTCTGAGATGGCCCAGAATGCTGTGCGTTTCCACTATGGTTTACCCGTCCTGGTCAAACTTCTCCACCCACCAAGCCGCTGGCCTCTGATAAAGGCAGTAGTCGGCCTTATCAGGAACCTTGCCCTGTGTCCGGCCAACCATGCCCCTCTCAGGGAACACGGGGCACTGCCTCGTATTGTCCATCTGCTGATCAGAGCCCACCAAGACACACAGAGGGTAAGAATTGTCTCATGTTGTACAGATTGGTCTGAAACTCGTAGGGTTAACAAGAGACTGATTCTCATAACTGCATATTACTGTCCTAAGTGTCCTTGGAAATAAGCTTATCTTAATTTACCAAAAAAAGTAACTGTAGTTCCGAAATCTGCTGTTTCAAACCAGGCACTGTTTCATCTGCTGGACCATACTCTTGAATCTGAATCGTGCACAATTTATCCATATTTTTCAGGGATTTTGCTTCATGTTCAAAGGGGTTTTATTATCCCTGAATTTTCCTCCCAATATTGAAGGAAATGTACTGTCCACTTGTACTATAATGCTTCCTTGATTTAGGGAATGTTTTAAGGTTGGATTGAACTTAGTCTTTTTATAATGAATAATGTTCGACTGTAAGAATTGTTAAATGGCTTTGGTAAAATATCACAATGGATTAAGGATGGAAATACTTTTGTGTCATACAATAATAAAGTTTACAAGTTTGTAAAAAGACGGTCATTGATGCAAACATTTGACTTTCAATTATTTACATTGATTGAATGCATGTGTTTTTCTGCAGAGAGCTTCTATCAGTTCAAATGGTCAGGGTTCTGGATACGTTGACGGAGTAAGAATGGAGGAGATTGTGGAGGGAACTGTTGGAGCTTTACACATCCTTGCCCGCGAGGCTCACAACCGTGCTGTCATCCGAGGACTAAACTGTATCCCACTGTTTGTACAGGTAGGATTGTGTTGTTTTCACAACAGTTTTACTATTGCATGAACAATATTAGTCTGAACGATTTCAATCCAAACTGGCCCAATGTTTGATTGTGACATAGAATGTGTTTTACTTGGACTCCACTGTTGTAAGTTTTCCTCCCATTGTTTGGTGCTATAAAATCTGTTATAACTAAGGACTTTGACTCCATAGATAATTTTATAGAAGAAAATAACAGAATAAGGAATGACAATAATTTTATGATGAAATCTTAACACTATCACAATTGCTCAATTCTTAAAAAAAAAAAAGATTCGGGTTACTTCAGAAATAGATATATAGGGAGGATGGCGTTCTTTCTATGACTACACAACTCACAATTATTTAAGACCCCAACAACAATATATTATCAGTCAGATGTGTCTTCCTCTATATCTTCATATATAGAATTGCCCAAATTACAAGAAAGAGGGAGAAAAGGGAGGAAAAATTCAAAAACAAATTACCACGTTGGCTATTGGTTAATAGTATAAACTTTTACCTCCACAGTTGTTGTACTCGCCCATTGAGAACATTCAGCGTGTGGCAGCAGGAGTCCTGTGTGAATTAGCCGCTGACAAGGAAGGCGCAGAGCTCATAGAACAGGAGGGGGCCACAGCACCTCTCACAGAACTGCTCCACTCCAGGAACGAGGGTGTCGGTAAGTTGTTCAGGGGAAGCAAAAGTTGTTTGGGCTCGGACCACAATGAATTCTACTTTATGTTACTACCAAAGGAAAAATTAAATTAAATTATTTTAAAACTTCGCGCTCGGTCTGGTTCGTGTTTCATATTGTAGGTCTATTCAAACCAAACATACAGTGAGCTGGAAAGTACCTATGACCGGCATTTAAGAAAGATAATTTTATTTGAATGTCACTACCCTGCATGTACAGGGGGAAATACCGAAAATCACAAAATACCACTGCTCAAGCCTCATCACTCAGTGTGTCTTGCTGCCAATACAAACTTGGAAACTGTGTCAAATAAAATCACTAGAATAGATATTGTTGAACAATTCTGTGTAAAAAAACTGTACATATCTGTCATAGATCAGACAAGAAAAAATGTTTAGTAACCCACCTGAAATGTCCTTATGCACTACATTCGTGTACAATGACCCGGAAGTGTAATTGTGTTCCGAGGCCGTTTAGGAGTAAGGGGAAGTAATTCAGCTTGTTATGAGTAGAAGGGAGGTAACACAGGTATTAATTATCATAGTAAGTGGAAAGTTGTATTGGAGCAAGCAAAGAAAATAAGCTTATAATAAATAGAATGGAAGTAATTAAGATCATAAAGTACAATTATAACTTGTTATGCATTGAACTTTGATAAAAAAAAATCAGCCTTTTTCATAATCCAAGTGCATTTTAAATTTAATGCTAAAAAAAAATAGTTTTAAAGGATTAAGAAATATAGTTTTCAGGATTTTTGCCCATCAGTCCAATATCATCTCCTGAAGACAAAGGACATAATTATTCTGTATTGCAGAAGAAATGTATTTCTTAAGATTGGTTGAAGTTAAATACTTTGCTAAGGAGGCAAGTCTCAGAACCCTAATTTTCATTTCTATCTTTGTTAACAGCCACATATGCTGCTGCAGTCCTGTTCCGCATGTCCGAAGATAAACCCCAGGATTACAAAAAGAGACTTTCTGTTGAATTGACCAGCTCTCTATTTAGAGGGGACCAGAATATTGCATCCTGGACTGAGGTAAAACCAGTTGTTACTTACCATAGAATTAGATATATCTTAATATTTACATAGAATTAGTATTGTAAAATTCAGGTTGCATTGTCGAGTACAAGTTCCTGTGCTTGGACTGCAAAATGGTTAAAAAGAAAGCATTCAGTACAAGTTAGCCAATACTTAATTAAGACAATCGGGAAGTTGAAATAAATAATCCTTACCCGACAATTTTAACAATTCAATTTTAACAATTTGACTCGATAACTTATTGATACTGGACTTGCTAATAAATATTTGACAAAAGTCATTTAATCAGGCAGTTAGAGTAACTATTTAAAACTCGACAAAGTCTTTTTCTGCATGATTCATGTTTGCTTTCTGTGTTTACAGCCTCCAGGTTTTGACGACGTTGGTATGATGGGACATGACGACTCCTACAGAGACCAGATGTATCAGCCTCAGCACCATGGCAGCCAGGGCAGTATGCACAGTGGTAGCCAGCACGACATGAGTAGGGGTGAGTAATCATTCCTCTCTTAAGAGTAAAATCCTGCCCAGTAGGGCCTGGCTCTAGACTAGGGTTTTTAGGGCCCTGCATCAGAGAGGCAGGTGCCCTATAGTAATCATGGTGTCTGTCTACCTGTCCGTCAAACTTTCGTTTCTGGAGCTTGTCTCGGAATCCAAATGACTTAATCTTGTTGAAATTTGACATGGTGATGCACTGTTTTATGAAGGCGTGCAGTTGGGTGTTTAAAAAAATATCTGAAGTCACTGTTTCAAAAAATGGACCATTGAGATACGGTCTTTAACTCACAATCCAAAAGACAAATCTTTCAGAAACTTGATAGGTGATGCCTTGTGATATATAGATGTGTAGTTCAAGTTAGGAATATGCTGTCTTTGCGTATTGCAGAGTTATCTTCTCTTGTGAGCAGGTATTGATTGTTACGTCATTGGTTTGTGCGAGAAAATTACGTCGTTTCTCAAAAAATTATGACGTTTCTCTCACAAACAAGTGACGTAACAATCAATCAATTCCCAAGAGAAGATAACTCAATACACAAAGACGGAATATGGGGCTGAAGAGGGCGAGTTTACAATTGATAATATTTGAATGATGGGATTTGAAATAGCTGAATATTTGTATAGTGGACACTAGGAATGTAAAATAGATGGTACTGGTATAAGGAGTACCTCCCTGCCCTCCCCTACTCGGGGATATATTTTTTCTGGAGTATCTCTTTGATATACAATAAGAATTTCATTGGTTATGTTCAAATGTTAAAACTTTGTCATGTTTAATCCTTCCACTTTGGATTTAGTGTCCTCATCCAATGCTTGGCCTGTTTACCACCGCAGACCATAATGGACACATCCATAATATGAAAAGGCAAAGCCTTAAAAGAGCGAAGCTTTTGTTGATCTCTGATATTTACTGATTTAGAATGAGATCATTTTAATACTGCTTTCAGAATGAGGCAAGATAAAATTTATTTAAAGTCGGCTAGTCGAGGGATAGCAATAAAACAAACTCTAATGAGATTAAGACGGACATAAAAATAGGGGAGATCGGGGCAAATTTGGCCAAATTTTATTAAAGTCCGTTCTGGGAAGTAAGGCAGCACATCCGTTTTTGAACACAATTTAATTTTCCCTGTTTAATGATCGGATGACCGAACGAGCCCCGCAATGGGATAAGTTCGGACAGGCATTTGGGTAAGTTCGGCCCCATTGGAATCGGCTTAATTATGACGTTATAAAGCCTGCAACGTCGGATTTTATCGCCAATTTTACGACTTTTTATCTGTTACATTGGCCTAACTTGAGTGCTTGGCTTTGCTTTTATGTACATCATTTGAAGCTGTCAGTGTGTTACACGTTTGACTGTAAAAAAATAGCAATTCCGGTTACAGAAAGTTCGCATAACTAGAAGCGAGGTCATGATTTTGTTTCTACCCTCTCTCAAAAGTGATTTTCTCCTGTTGAGTAATTTTACATTAGAGTTTTCCTCACCATTTTTTCGTGTGAATGACTAGCCAACTCAACTGCTAAGATCTTAAAGTTGTAAATATAAGCTCAAAAACATATTATATATTTGACGATAAGTCTATAAAAGTAAATGTATAGAGATGTTAGTTAAAAAAATGAAATTAAAAAAAGAAAACATTTTTAATACTTTGATGTAACTGAGATTGTCGTTATATCGATATTTAGAATTCATGTTCCATCCTAAAACACAGGATTGAATTTAAAACTTTGTAACGGTCACTGAGGTTTGACAGATAATAATGCCAAATACAATTAAACAGTTTCTGTCTCTAACTAGTTTTATATATCGGTATTGTATTTCAGTTAGTTTACATGCTGATTTCCACATCACATCTAAACAATAAAATAAAGCTTCCAGTACCTATGATATAACTCAGGTGACCTCTAAGGCCCTTGGGCCTCTTGTTATCTAAATAAACAAGTAATAAAACATGGGTATTGTTTTCACTATATGAAGATGTTCATGTATGGGTTGAAACACAATTGTCTTTGCTTCAAGGATACACTTCCGGTTTCCCCACTGGACGTCTACTTCCGGACGAAAAAAAATAAAGGCAAGGTCTAGAAAGGGGAAACAACTTTGTTTACGCACGCATGTGTTACCATTAAAGAGCTTCGCTCGGGCACCTTTGGCGCCCGAGAGCTACGCTCTTATAAATGCATGGTAGAGTCCACTGAAGTTACATAGTGGTGATAGGGTTAGTGTAACTTACAAAGTAGGTTAGGCTCAAACATTTAGTGGATCTTGATGCCTAGGGGGGAAATCTTAATCATTATAAAAAAAAACAGGCTGATTGTGGCAATGATGAAAACCATTTTCCCCATCATTCGCGGTTTCCACAGATGGGCAGCACCGCTCTATGATGTTCCAATTACCTTCCTTGGATGTCTGAGTAGCCACAGCAACACAGCTGGTTAGCCAATAGGTTAACAGATTGTCAATGTCTAGCTCGGTCTATGGATAGCTTCAATCCTGAATTAAAAAGTCAGCATGGCCATGAGAAGAAATTGTACATTTTGTTGAATGGAATAATTTTTGAAGAATATATTATTGTTCTTGGGTTGGAATGATTAATATATTAACTTCACCATTAAAATTTAAAATACTCTCTAGTTGGAAATAAACAGCTCTGAAGTGAAACTCTTTGTGATTATAACTGGTGCAATGGAACCCTTAACCTCAAAGTTTATATATAAGGAAAAAAATATTTATTCACATTTGAATAGATTAAGAAAACCCAAATTTATGCGTTCTGTTTCTTTTTGAAAGCAAAAAAATGTCTTTGAATAGGGGTAAATATTTTTGTTTATGTAAGAATAATGCAAGGGTGTATAATTTGATTTCTTTCTGTTGCTAGGTTACGAGCCACAGGTGCCCACAGACTCCATGCAGGGACTTGAGATCGGCAGTCACCACGGTAGCCAATATGGTGGTCCCATGGACAACATACCTGATCTTGGGGCTCCAACACAATCTGGAGAACTGAATTTCGAAACCCTTGAGCCTTCTCTGCCCCCACAGCAAGGTGGTAGTCAGGGAAACATGGACAACTGGTACGACACAGATCTGTGAGGCATGACAAGTCATTCAAACCAGGAAAAACATGAACAGTTTGACAGGTCGTCTGGGTCAAAGTTTATATAACACATGTGTGCAGCCAAAAGCTTGGACAAATATACTAAAACCCAGAGACCACGAGCGGAATTGGATGATCCCATTTCTCCACCAGTCTTTTGTTTTACAAAATTCATCTTGTGGTTATGTGTTTGTAAAAAAATCTGCTGCATGATTGTTTAAGATTTTTGGAGCATATAAACAGACAGTTGGTTGGATCTGAACACAGCCCAAGGACATTTTAGGAACTGTGCAGTCTTAAGGCTATATTCTTAGACAATTTGTATTTAAGAAAGGATTTTAATTTACATACAGTTTGTTTTTATTGAGAATGGTACAAAGGTACTCTTGGTATTTAAAAGAAGACTGGTTTTTATTACACAGCGAAATGGACCTATGAGGAAAATTTGTATTCAGATTTTACAAGTAAAGGTTGTCCTTAACAACATAGTCGAGACGATTTATAATCTACATGTCATAGTCGTGTTTCTATACATTTAATATGTCATTACTTGGATATTGTTTACATAAATCGTAAATTATTCATCTTGGGTAATAACCAAATAAAAAAAACGCCACATTTTTTTTTACTCATCATGTTTCATAAATGTCTCTGTATATTTCATCAGGTCTCTTCGAAAGCTTTTTCTCTTTTTGGAAATCAAATTATTACTTTTTCCAAATTTTCAAAGTGAAAGTAAATTTAATGCATCTAGATGAACTCATTGAGTGTGTTTTAGACCATGCAGTTTAAATAGGATCTAGACAACATTTTCAGTCGTTTAAATCAGTAACATTGGTTTGGGTTAATAATTCACATTGAAATTGTGAGGGTAAAAATAAACATTGAACACTGAGAGACATATTGAAGGACACAAGCTGGACCAGAGGTTATTTGTAAATATTCAGTCATTCCAATTCGCATCCATCCATCATACAACAAAAAGAACACATCACAATATTTTTTTGAAATTTAAATTTCATTCATTTAAATTCATACTTGGTATTTAAAAACATTTAAATTGATGACTATTTATCAAAAATTATTCGAAACATTTATAATATTTGGTAAGACAGGCAAAGGTCCAATAAGTTATTAAACTTTATGAAGCTGTGTTGATGCCAGTCATTTTATCATCAAAGATTTTAACTTAAATGTTGTGATGTGATTTTAAAATTTCGTTTTTAATCGCATGTGCCTACTGAACAAAATCGTCTGAGCCCTACATATCAGATTACCATATTTAGGCGAGTATATCCATCCAGCTAGTTAAATCATGTCATTTTGGTATCATATTACACCCATCTGTCATAGTATTGTACATATATTTCTGTAATTATTTTCGATATGTTTTCTGTCTTTACATTTTAGTTAGACTATATTAGACATAGACTTTGATTTTTTTACAATTTCTCTCTTTCTCAGCTCTTCATTCTGATTCGTAGACAAATTTAGACAGATGAGATGAAGATTGTTTCTGCAATATACCAATGCCGTCGATCCTTATTGAAATAGAAACTTGTAGATCAAGTCACATGTAGAAATAGTTTATACGCATGTTCTATTTAATGAAATAAAGATGGCATTTTTGTAATAAACAGTTGTTGTTTATCTGACACAAAGTGCCTGTGGTCTAATGGTAATGAGCAGCATCATTCCATTGTCCTATTTTTCTTTCAACAACTTTTTAAAATTGATATACCTGACGTCATGATATTTAACCAGTAGCTTACTGGGATGAAGTGCTGTAAAATTAACTAAAAAATAAATTGCGTTAACACTTTAAAGATCACATAGGTAAAAACTTAAGGCATAAACAACACATATCCTATGTACATACTGTGTTGAAGCGTGTTAGTCAAAGGTCAATTTCGAGAGCTGGCAGGGTTCAAAGGTCTTATATGAAAAAACTTTTAAACCTAAAGGTCCAGGGCCCACTTGTATAAAACATCTCAACTCTTGAGATTTCCTCAAATCTAAGATTTCCCATAGACAATACATTGCTTGAGATTTTCCGTAACTTTGAGATGTTTTATACAAGTGGGCCCTGAAGCCTTGGATGATGCCATTTCGCCCAGTAGATATCCTGGATGGATAACTATACAAGTCCGTAAAACGTTTACTAATTTTCAAGTTGACATGGTCATTTTGGAGAAAAAAAGTTGATTTCTATAACAATGATACCCTAATATTTTATGAAGATCGAATATTTGCATGTTGTGTGCATTGCAACATTCTGATGTCAAATTTTAACCAAGCAAGAGCTAAAGGTCGACAAGAGGAGATTATACCCTAAGGATGTTTCAAAAAGAGAAAATATCTTATAACGTTTCTCTTTACATAAGGCTGTTCCAAGAGACATTTCAAAATCGAAAATACGGAATACCTGTATTTAGATCAATAATAACCTTGTACGATTTCAATGCATACCGGATCCCAATAATACTGCCAAAACGGTAACTGTGCAATGGAAACTTCGCACGACTGAAGCTCATTTCCGGAAGGAACATCTGACTTTGCGGCACTTTTATGGTACAGATGGATTTAACAGGTGAGTATAAAAAGTATTTGTACCAGACCAGAATTTGAACCCTTGACCTCTGATATTGTACTGGAACCACTAACTAAATTGCCTTGTCAACGGCATTAAAGTTGCATAAAAAAACAAGATTAAGGGGAGGCTACTCGTAACTGTACTTTGTAACTCTCTAGTTTTGCCTGCAGTGGGACAGATCCTTAAGCTTTAGACTTGGAATATGCACTTGAAAAGCCAAATAACCCCAATCAATACGTCGACTGCACGTTTCGGGACTCGACTCTTTCGGCATCAACATCAGTATTTTTTTCCGGTTTAATAATACACATGAACAATGGTATATAGACCAACATTATATGTATTACCATATATTTTCTCGGCCACTGAAAAGCCCAATTGGCCTGTATTGCTTGGCTGTCGTAGATTTTACATCTTGTACCTTCAAATGCGAACGAGGTCGATATTTTTTTAATTGCACCTTATGAATTCTTTTTTGAAGACTTTTAAAATTATCGTTTTACTAATCAGACCTTCAAAGTTTGTCCATGTCATTGAGATGGCAACATTTAATGTTGCTGTTCACCAGTAATAAAGTACTCGAGTCACTCGTTGATATCAAGAACAAGTTATTACAAGAAATGAAAAAATGGCACTGTGACCTTGTATGTGTTTCAAGGTCTTTCATTAAAACAAATTTTGTAGCGCTTCATCCAAACATGCAGGAGCGGTTGTTAAAAAGTTTTTAAACACATTTAACTTGTGTGACCTTTAAAAGTTGGTTATTTCATTCATCTCAATTGCCCCAGCATGCTAGTGGCCAAATATCACCACCAAAAAACTCTTGGTTGTTCAGAAGAAGTATCCAGTTGGGACACAGCTGACGGAGGACGGACGCCGCACCGTGGCATAATCTCACTTCGCCCTTTTTGACAGGTGAGCTAAATAGTTTATCATGAAGGTTTATCCTGCTGTTAATAGATCGGTGAAAACCAGTTAGTGATGTCAGTGACAGATTTATAAAAATCAGTTAATGTCGGTGATAGATCTGTGAAAACCAGCTATAGTAGGGTCGGTGATAGATTGGTAATAAACAGTTAGTAGTGTCAGTGATAGATTGGTAATAAACAGTTAGTAGTGTCAGTTATAGATTGGTGAAAAACAGTTAGTAATGTCAGTGATAGATTGGAGAAAACAGTTTGTAGTGTCAGTGATAGATTGGTGAAATACAGTTAGTAGTGTCAGTTATAGATTGGTGAAATACAGTTAGTAGTGTCAGTTATAGATTGGTGAAAAACAGTTAGTAATGTCAGTGATAGATTGGTGAAAACAGTTTGTAGTGTCAGTGATAGATTGATGAAATACAGTTAGTAGTGTCAGTTATAGATTGGTGAAAAACAGTTAGTAGTGTCAGTTATAGATTGGTAATAAACAGCTAGTAGTGTCAGTGATAGATTGGTAATAAACAGTTAGTAGTGTCAGTGATAGATTGGTTAAATACAGTTAGTAGTGTCAGTCATAGATTGGTGAAAAACAGTTAGTAATGTCAGTGATAGATTGGTGAAAACAGTTTGTAGTGTCAGTGCTAGATTGATGAAATACAGTTAGTAGTGTCAGGGATAGATTGGTAATAAACAGTTAGTAGTGGCAGTGATAGATTGGTAATAAACGGTTAGTAGTGTAAGTGATAGATTGGTAATAAACAGTAGTTTCAGTTATAGATTGGTGAAAAGCAGTTAGTAGTGTCAGTTATAGATTGGTGAAATACAGTTAGTAGTGTCAGTGATAGATTGGTAATAAACAGTTAGAAGCGTCAGTGATAGATTGATAATAAACAGTTAGCAGTGTCAGTGATAGATTGGTAATAAACAGTTAGTAGTGTCAGTGATAGATTGGTGAAAAACAGTATACAGTTGTTGACTGTTGACTGATAAGGCATGAAACAACTGTTTTGTTACTTGACCAATGAAAAACCAAAATATCTATATCGAATGTGATGTTTAGATCTGCCGACAGGCAACCGTCAACAATCCAGTACCAAAATCGCTTGGTCATCGGGGTCAACAGTCAAAACCATTTTCCCTCGGAGTTGGGACCCACCAAATGAACTGTTTCCCTCGGCCTGCGGCCTCGGGAAACAGTTCATCTGGAGGGTCCCAACTCATCGGGAAAATAGTTTTGAAAGTTGACTGATAAGGCATGAAACAACTGTATAGTGTCAGTCATAGATTGGTAATTAACAGTTAGTAGTGTCAGTGATAGATTGGTAATAAACAGTTAGAAGTGTCAGTTATAGATTGGTGAAATAGTAGTGTCAGTGATAGATTGGTAATAAACAGTTAGTAGTGTCAGTGATAGATTGGTGAAAAACAGTTAGTAGTGTCAGTGATAGATTGGTAATAAACAGTAGTGTCAGTTATAGATTGGTGAAATACAGTTAGTAGTGTCAGTGATAGATTGGTGAAATACAGTTAGTAATGTCAGTGATAGATTGGTAATAAACAGTAGTGTCGGTGATAGATTGGTAATACAGTTAGTAGTGTCAGTGATAGATTGGTAATAAACAGTTAGTAGCGTCAGTGATAGATTGATAATAAACAGTTAGCAGTGTCAGTGATAGATTGGTAATAAACAGTTAGTAGTGTCAGATCTACCGACAGACAACCGTCAACAATCCAGTACCAAAAAACCTTGGTCATCGGGGTGCTTGTAATTATAGGTGCGTTCGATTACCTAACATGTGACCAGTCAAACAGTTAGTAGTGTCAGTGATATATTGGTGAAATACAGTCAGTAGTGTCAGTGTTAGTCAAACAATAGTTATAACTTGGGTAATAAAAAACAAACAAAGATATCAACAACCAAGTAACGTTTATTATAACAAAATAAATTTATACAATCGTCAGATTACTACTCCGACACTACAGCCAGAACCATTGGTCAGTTAAGTTTCCGGTCAAAACACGTCTGGAATATCTTAGTTTCAGAAACAGGGAAAAAGCATATCTTTGAACATCAAAAAAGTCATTAGAGGGGAAATTGTGGTTAACTCTACCCTAGTCAGACCCCCCCCTCCAAACCAGTTTGTGTCAAAATTCACGGTTCCAGAAGGTCAGTGAGCCCTGTAATATATTGACATATAAATTGTCATGTTTTGCCAGGAATCAGTTGGGAGCTGTTTTACTTCAGTAACTCAAAAAGTCCTAAGAGAGACTGAAAATGTTAAAGTAGCGCAAGGAACACCGTGAGAGACTTAGAAATGCTTTATTTCAGGAACTCGAGGTGTTCTATGGAACATTGGCATTGTTTTGAAGTGCAACTTTGGGAACACCGTACAAGATCGACAATGTCTCAAAAGTGCAAGGAGTTCCTTGAAGAATTGATATAATTTCAAAGGTATACGTACTTATCAAGAAATACCAGTTTATAAAACGTACTGCTTTCGTTCGGCTTGGAGACTTATGACGCTTCAGCCAGGTAGCCCCATCTCCTACTGAATCATGTTCAACAAGTCTGTCAGAAAAAAACATACTGTATTATTTATCTGAGTGTGGATATTTTGAATTAAAAAAAATGTTTAAATTTCGATTGCAAAAATACAGAAACTACCCAGCAGTTTAAGTTGTTCAAGTATCTTTTGACTCTACACACATTATAAACCCGTGATTTGTGAAGAGTTATCTCCTCTGACATATCATTTAAGATTAAGAAAGCTGTGCAGGTTCCTTAGTATGAAACTCTTTTTGAAATGGAGATAAATTTCACTTTTAAGTAACATACATCCTTTACCTTAAAAAAACCAGTACAATGGAGCCTACCACACATTTCAGAAAAAAATCGTTATAGGAATTAAACAACGTTAGAAGAAATACCAATTTAAAAAATGTGAACAAATCCAGATCTTCGAATTCTCTCAAAAACTTCAAATTTCAAAAAAATCTCACAAAAAAAGAGTTAATAATGTTATTATCACAATACATGGGCTTTAACATATGACACATGTCAGCTGATCGTTAAAGTGTATAGACTTCATCAGCATTTTAAACTTAGTTACTTTTACATTTACAAACAAAAACAACAGACAAAGAAATTAAGACGCTTGGGAATGTTCAAAGATATCTCAAGACGGTAATTTGAACATTTTTTGTTATCATCGTTTGAACATATTGAATATTAAAATAACTTAAACATCACACAAAGCCTGAGTTAGCACATCAAACTGAAGTGAACAAACTCAGAAAGTTAAGTCGACAATTTACACAGTTTGTCAAGAAGTTAACACAATCAGTATTTCATGTTAACGCACTCAGNGTTAGTAGTGTCAGATCTACCGACAGACAACCGTCAACAATCCAGTACCAAAAAACCTTGGTCATCGGGGTGCTTGTAATTATAGGTGCGTTCGATTACCTAACATGTGACCAGTCAAACAGTTAGTAGTGTCAGTGATATATTGGTGAAATACAGTCAGTAGTGTCAGTGTTAGTCAAACAATAGTTATAACTTGGGTAATAAAAAACAAACAAAGATATCAACAACCAAGTAACGTTTATTATAACAAAATAAATTTATACAATCGTCAGATTACTACTCCGACACTACAGCCAGAACCATTGGTCAGTTAAGTTTCCGGTCAAAACACGTCTGGAATATCTTAGTTTCAGAAACAGGGAAAAAGCATATCTTTGAACATCAAAAAAGTCATTAGAGGGGAAATTGTGGTTAACTCTACCCTAGTCAGACCCCCCCCTCCAAACCAGTTTGTGTCAAAATTCACGGTTCCAGAAGGTCAGTGAGCCCTGTAATATATTGACATATAAATTGTCATGTTTTGCCAGGAATCAGTTGGGAGCTGTTTTACTTCAGTAACTCAAAAAGTCCTAAGAGAGACTGAAAATGTTAAAGTAGCGCAAGGAACACCGTGAGAGACTTAGAAATGCTTTATTTCAGGAACTCGAGGTGTTCTATGGAACATTGGCATTGTTTTGAAGTGCAACTTTGGGAACACCGTACAAGATCGACAATGTCTCAAAAGTGCAAGGAGTTCCTTGAAGAATTGATATAATTTCAAAGGTATACGTACTTATCAAGAAATACCAGTTTATAAAACGTACTGCTTTCGTTCGGCTTGGAGACTTATGACGCTTCAGCCAGGTAGCCCCATCTCCTACTGAATCATGTTCAACAAGTCTGTCAGAAAAAAACATACTGTATTATTTATCTGAGTGTGGATATTTTGAATTAAAAAAAATGTTTAAATTTCGATTGCAAAAATACAGAAACTACCCAGCAGTTTAAGTTGTTCAAGTATCTTTTGACTCTACACACATTATAAACCCGTGATTTGTGAAGAGTTATCTCCTCTGACATATCATTTAAGATTAAGAAAGCTGTGCAGGTTCCTTAGTATGAAACTCTTTTTGAAATGGAGATAAATTTCACTTTTAAGTAACATACATCCTTTACCTTAAAAAAACCAGTACAATGGAGCCTACCACACATTTCAGAAAAAAATCGTTATAGGAATTAAACAACGTTAGAAGAAATACCAATTTAAAAAATGTGAACAAATCCAGATCTTCGAATTCTCTCAAAAACTTCAAATTTCAAAAAAATCTCACAAAAAAAGAGTTAATAATGTTATTATCACAATACATGGGCTTTAACATATGACACATGTCAGCTGATCGTTAAAGTGTATAGACTTCATCAGCATTTTAAACTTAGTTACTTTTACATTTACAAACAAAAACAACAGACAAAGAAATTAAGACGCTTGGGAATGTTCAAAGATATCTCAAGACGGTAATTTGAACATTTTTTGTTATCATCGTTTGAACATATTGAATATTAAAATAACTTAAACATCACACAAAGCCTGAGTTAGCACATCAAACTGAAGTGAACAAACTCAGAAAGTTAAGTCGACAATTTACACAGTTTGTCAAGAAGTTAACACAATCAGTATTTCATGTTAACGCACTCAGCAACTTATGTTAAAAACTCAATGTCTCAAGTAAGCGAAACTCAGCGACTCAAGGTAACGTACTTAGTGACTCAAGATAACGTACTCACCAACTTATGTTAAAAACTCAATGTCTCAAGTAAGCGAAACTCAGCGACTCAAGGTAACGTACTTAGTGACTCAAGATAACGCACTCAGCAACTTATGTTAAAAACTCAATGTCTCAAGTAAGCGAAACTCAGCGACTCAAGGTAACGTACTTAGTGACTCAAGATAACGTACTCACCAACTTATGTTAAAAACTCAATGTCTCAAGTAAGCGAAACTCAGCGACTCAAGGTAACGTACTTAGTGACTCAAGATAAAGTACTCAGTAACTCGCATTAACAAACTCAGAAACTCGAGTTAACGTGCTCAGTAACTAATGTTAAAAACTCAGTTACTCAAGTCAATGAACTCAGTGACTCAAGGTAACATACTTAGTGACTCAAGTTAACATGCTAAGTAACTCGAGTTAACGTACCCAGCAACTTAAGTCAACATACTCAGAAACTCATGTTAAAAACTCAGTGACACAATTAAATGAACTCAGTGACTAAAGTAAACGTACTCAGTAACTCAAAATAACATACTTAGTGACTCAAATAAAAGTACTCAGTAACTCAAGATAACATACTTAGTGACTCAAATAAACGTACTCAGTGACTAAAGTTAAGAAACTCAGTGATTCAAGTAAACGTACTTAGTAACTCGCATTAACAAACTCAGAAACTCGAGTTAACGCGCTCAGTAACTAATGTTAAAAACTCAGTGACTCAAGTAATGAACTCAGTGACTCAATGTAACATACTTAGTGACTCAAGATAACATACTCAGTAACCAGAGTTAACATGCTCAGTAACTAATGTTTCAAACTCAATGACTCAAGTAAACGAACTCAGTGACTCAAGGTAACATACTTAGTGACTCAAGATAACATACTCAGTAACTAGAGTTAACAAACTCGGTGACTAAAGTAAACGTACTCTGTGACTCAAGATATCGTACTTAGTGACTCAAGGTTACAGAGTCAGTTACTCAAGTTAACATACTAAGTAACTCGAGTTAACGTACCCAGCAACTGAAGTCAACATACTCAGAAACTCATGTTAAAAACTCAGTGACACAATTAAATGAACTCAGTGACTAAATTAAACGTACCCAGTAACTCAAGATAACATACTTAGTGACTAAAATAAACGAACTCAGTGACTAAAGTTAAGAAACTCAGTGATTCAAGTAAACGTACTTAGTGACTCAAGATAACGTACTATTAACTCCAGTTAACATGCCAAGTGACTCGAGTTAACGTACTCAGCAACTTAAGTCAACATACTCAGAAACTCAGTAAATAGTCAGTTACTCGAGTTTACGTACTCAGTAACTAAGGTTAACGTACTGAGTCACTCAACGTAATGTTCTCAGTAACTTAAGTAAATAGTCAGTAAATCGAGTAAACGTACTCAGTCATGTTATCATAGTAACTTAAGTTACAAAGATTAGTAGGAATAAACTTAACAAGGTAATGTACTCAAATTTACATACTCAGTAAAAATCAAGTTAGCATATTTAAAGTAAGCTAGGTCAACGCACCTATCAAAAGTAAAATTAACATAATCAGTAAAAATAAAAATTTAGTCAGAACTCTTTTTTGAAGTAAAATTAAAATAGTAAAAGTCATATTAGCATACTTAAAGTAAGTTATTTACCACACTTTATTAAAAGTTACATAAACATACTCAGTAAATGTTCAGTTAAAAACAGCCTTTGTCAACATCACATACACAGTAAAATTAGCATATCTTGGAAGTGAAGATCGAATTAGAAAATATTGAAAATGTTAAACAGGTATATATACATGTAGTAGAGTTTTTAACACATTTCTATCAAATATGTTATCTACCTAAATAAAAAGACTGATAAGCTTAGAACATACACACATATAATCTGATATCTGAATGGTAAGTCTGGTTCTCACCTTCTTAGGCTTGGCCATCACATTATAAGGCCTGGGTATCGAATTGTCTCGAAATCAGACTTATATTCTCAGATGTTTTGGAAATCAGACTTCAAAGCTTCGATTTCAGACTTAATCTTGGATTTTAGAGCTCAAAGCTTGAACTTAAGGCCTATTGTCTCGGATATCAGAGGCATACACGCACAGATTTCTGACTTTTTTCCGGATATCAGACATTATTGCTCGATCTCAGATTTAATGTCTCGGATAACAGACTTGTTGTCTTTGATATAATATATAACAACTTTGATTTTAGACTTATTGAAAAAAATATCAAACTTATTGAGTTGGATATTAGACTTCCAAGCTTTGATTTTAGACTTATTGTATCCGATTTCAGATGTACTGTCTCGGATTTCAGACTTATTGTCTTGTAATTGGATAGGAGGCTAATTGTCTCGTATATCAGACTACCAAACATGGATTTCAGACTAATTGCCTCAGATATCAGATTATATGGCTTGCATTCCAGACTAATTGTCTCGGATATCAGACTACCAAGCTTGGATTTCAAACCAATTGACTTGGATATCGGATTATATAGCTTGGATAAGCTAATTGTCTCAGAGTTGAAGCTAACTAGCTTGTATTCAAGACTCATTGACCTGGATGCAAGGCTAATTATCTCGGATATCAGACTACCAAGCTTGACTTTCAGACCAATTGACTTGGATATCGGATTATATAGCTTGGATAAGCTAATTGTCTCGAAGTTGAAGCTAACTATCTTGGATTTCAGACAAGTAGCTGGCTTCGTCAATACCAACCTGATACTGTTGTATATCACACTATTGTTGTATATCACACTATCAGGCTTATACTTTGATAATAAAATACTTGGCTTGTATATCATGGTATTGAAATATTATTTATTTGATTTACATAAGTTGTGAACCTTAACACTGAACGTCAGTTTGACAGTAACAGCTAAGATTTCTAGCAATGTCTCTCCCACCTTTACGGATTCAAGATAAACGTGTCACATGTGCGACAACATCGAGTATCCGACACACCCGATTAAGTCCTAAAACTGATATAAAAGGATTGTTTGGGTTCAAAATGCATCATGATGCCGTAATAAAATCGCCATTTGAATCATTCGAATGATATCTCCTGCCTTAACAGGGACAGCTGAAATTTTCTGAAGAAAAAAATTGCATATTGCTTTTTTTTACATAAACTTCTGATCTCTTTTAGATTTTCCCATTCTATCTCAACATGCTTTTTACTAATATGTGTGTTTGGTAAAAAAAAATATTATCCAAAATTGCGGGTAAGGGGTGGGAGCAAAGAACGTAGTCTGTTAGTCTGAAGGGCAAAAGGTTAGGAGGGTCCTGGGGTTCGAACCCCGGTCTGGCCGTGCATTTTTCCTCTCCTGTTACATTTATACTATTTTACCCCAACTGCAGTACGTTTTCATGACACACACTCTGGATGAATGTGGTCACAATGTCAAGAACAACTGGCCGGGGCCACCCTGTTTTTCCAGTTGTCTTTCCCAGTCAAATATATCCACGTTTTTGTGCATATTTGCTGGACACATAATAAAGAGAAACACAATCTCATTCCCATTCCATCTGGATTTTATGAAACTTGCTGAAGCTTGTTAAATAAAAATCACATGTAACAGCTACAATACCATCAAGAGACTGAAGAGGCAGTCGGTCCTAATCAAGTGTATCATGCCATGTTAATTGTTTTGGAGGGACTCAAGTCTGTGTGTATAAGTGCTAGAGGGAGGCATGTGTGTGTGTGAGTGCTGGAGGGAGGCGCGTGTATGTACATGTATCAGGGCTGTAGGGATGCGTGTGTGTGAGTGCTGGAGGAAGGCATGTGTATGTGTGAGTGTGTGTTTGCGTGTGTGTGAGTGCTGGAGGGAGGCGCGTTTATGTACATGTATCAGGGCTGTAGGGATGCGTGTGTGTGGGCACGTGTATGTGTGAGTGTGTGTTTGCGTGTGTGTGTGCTGGATGGATGTACGTGTGTATGAGTGCTGGAGGGACGTGTGTGCATGTATGAGTGCTGGAGGGACATGTATGCGTGTGTATGAGTGCTTGAGGGACGTGAGTGTACACGTATGAATGTTGGAGGGACATGTGAGCGTGTGTATGAGTGCTGGAGGGACATGCACGCGTGTGTATGAGTGCTGGAGGGACGTGAGTGTGTAGAGTGGTGAAGGGACGTTCGCGTGTGTATGAGTGCTGGAGGGACGTTCACGTGTGTATGAGTGCTGGAGGGACGTTTGCGTGTGTATGAGTGCTGGAGGGACGTGCACGTGTGTATGAGTGCTGGAGGGACGTGTGCGTGTGTATGAGTGCTGGAGGGGCGTTCGTGTGTGTATGAGTGCTGGAGGGACGTTCGCGTTTGTATGAGTGCTGGAGGGACGTTCGCGTTTGGATGAGTGCTGGACGGACGTTCACGTGTGTATGAGTGCTGGAGGGGCGTTCGTGTGTGTATGAGTGCTGGAGGGACGTTCGCGTTTGTATGAGTGCTGGAGGGACGTTCGCGTTTGGATGAGTGCTGGACGGACGTTCACGTGTGTATGAGTGCTGGGGGGACGTTCCCGTGTGTATGAGTGGTGGAGGGACGTTCACGTGTGTATGAGTGCGGGAGGGACGTTCACGTGTGTATGAGTGCTGGAGGGACGTTCGCGTTTGGATGAGTGCTGGAGGGACGTTCACGTGTGTATGAGTGCTGGAGGGACGTGCATGTTTATTTGTGCCAAATGCTATGAAGGTTTGTAATGTATTATACATAAAAGGTTATTAAAGGCCAACATTTTTAATGTAAGAAACCTCTTATTTTAAACTCACTTATTTCCAATTTATTATGATTTTTTGCAATTTTAAGGATTTTTAGTTAAATGCACCTAAAAATTGAAATTATTTAAACATGAGACATTTTATAAAAGATAACACTTTGGATTCCAGATCTCAAAACACAGAAATTAATAAAATATCATTTGCCGTTAAAATCCGAAGTGAGTCAACAGTAAAATAAATATACAGCTCAATGAAATAGTTTAATAACATGAACAGCTTGCAAATAATTGTGTCTTAATTCCTTTAACCTGAATAAAAAAAAATATTGTGTGGAAATTTGTTTTGAAATAATTGATTTTATCTTTAATTACGGGATACACAAAACTTAAAAAAAACAGTCACAATCGAAAACGTCATTTAACAACTTATATTTTTTACTTAAATATAATGAAAACATTTTAAAATTACCAATAGAAAACTTCAGTTTCATAATAATTGTAATAATAACAATAGTATCGTGGCTAAACATTGAAATGCACATACACATAGCCGTAATTAGTCATTCTATAAAATATAACTACATTATGTATCTAAACACCTAACACTTAACTACACACTAGACCTAACATAATACACAGTTACAGTCTAACCATCTATCAAAAATTGTCATTACACTCTTTCAAAAAGCCGATCTACGAGAGTAAATTGACAGCATGTTGTCCTCTTTAAAATGATGAACTATGAACAAAGAATTTGCACTCCTAAAAATACTGATAAACTATGTGATTTCTTCGGTCAAATAGCAATATAATATGAGTTGTCTTCCCTGAAACAGCAATGTATCCCCCCCCCCCCATCCCCCAACCGGGCACTGGTAATTAAGTATCTCCTGCCATGTTTTTTTTTGAAATATTTCCCCTAATTATGGACAGACTTTGGGTTGTCTGCCCTTGTGTGATATGAAGTTTGCAGGCTGCTTAGTAACACTCGCCCATGAAATCCTGCTTCCCTTTTGAGAATCTCCGCGTAATCTCGCAAAAGCAACGAGAGGATTGAGTTACAAGTCATTTGGTTAGCAAGTTCGATGTCATTAAACATGAACATTATCATCTTCAAACTAAATGTGTCAAGGAATTGTTATGCATTCTGGATAATGATGTCATTGGTTGTCACGTGCCCAAATATAAATACCCAGCAAATTGGTAATCAACATGCTATCTTAATCCCAAGTTAGCACTGCCTACAACAATCGGGAACCGTTGGCACTTTCCGCACAAGTTTCTCATTTACGGAAAGTGCCAACGGTTCCTGATTGTGCCTACAAATGACATGGATTATCGCCCTTTAAGCATGAGAAAAATGTTGCAAATGTTGAAATGAAAATGCTACAAAGAGATGCTAATAATCAAATCTACCAGTGTTCTGATCACGCCTTCTTCACCCATACCTATCTGCCTTCTTCACCCATCCCTATCTGCCTTCTTCACCCATCCCTTTATGCCTTCTTCACCCATCCCTATCTGCCTTCTTCACCCATCCCTATCTGCCTTCTTCACCCATCTGCCTTCTTCCCCCATCCCTATCTGCCTTCTTAACCCATCCCTATCTGCCTTCTTCACCCATCCCTATCTGCCTTCTTCACCCATCCCGTTCTGCTACCTTCATCCCCTCCCCCTTCATCACCCAACCCCACACCGCCGTCTTCTTTGCCCCAGCTCCTTTTCCGCTCATGATGGTACCTTTTAATAAAAACGCACCTCTAAAGCTAAAATCTATAATCTATTACAATAACCGACAGCAATACTAAGACAATCCTGATTGGCTAGCACAGAAACTAGATGAATAATGATCACGTGATCTCACACGATGACGAAGTAGACACTTGATGTCACTAACTGATAGCTTTTCTCTAGTTTCAACAAAGACCCACTTTTATTTGTTTACGACAACATAAATGAAGTTAAAGTTTAAACATGTTTTTGAAACCTGAACACCTGTCTGGTCAGTGTGAACCGGAAACGGAAATGATAAAATGATTCTCTACGAGACAGATTAGTGGAGGACCAACTGGTATTTGATCTTTTCATGGTCAGACAATCTAAATTATCATGAAAATATCATATTTAGACATTTTTCAAAAAAAAAAATGATAAAAAAATGAAAAAAAAAAATTAAACAATGATGACCTTTAACTTTGGATTCTGACATCTTTCCATCAGGAAACTAACACTAGAAAAACATTACATATGACGATTGACAGTTCTTATGATCTCAAGACGAAAACAAAACCACTCAACATCCATTACAGGACTGTTAATGACAACAGTCGGTCAAACATCAAAATAATTCAGTCTTTAATATTAAGCTATACTACAAACAATCACTAGACTTGACCGATGTGTTTCAGCTTCAATCAGCAGACGTGTGTTTTCAGAAGTGATCACCCTCCAAATCGAAAGACAAAATGTCCACTACCCCATCCATGGCAGGAGGTTGAAGTTAATAGTGACAATAACGTTCTAGATTGTTTCATTTCACTCCTAGGGTGGAGGATACACACAATACAATGTAGGTACGAGGTCATACTGACCGTAACCTCAGTTAAGTCGGGACTATGGGTCAAATGTCACTGTTGGCACAGTCAGAGGGCATACTTTATGTCAATGTTCATGAGTTCAAACGGTATGATTTTCCTCTTAATCGATCATAATTTTGTTGTTGTTCTGGTTGCTATCGACCTGGTTGTCTGGGACGCCTCCTTTTGTCTGTCCGTTCTCCTTCTCCTTCCCCTTGTGTTCCTCCTTACCAAAAGTGGTCTCCTCCTTGATCCCCGTAGCGTCCCAGACCCGGAGGCAGCCGTCAAACGAGCCAGTGAACAGTCGCCCATCCACAACCTGTAACACACATAACCAAATCAACACGTTTCCCCGGAAGAATATTACAACTATCATAAATTGAATTCCAAAGGTAGTAACAGGAAGTAATACCGGAATTCACATTAAACCTTTCACCCCTATGTAACTTTAATAAACTCTACCATGCATTGATCTGGATATGTCCATTATGGTTTACAGTGGTGAAAGGGTTAAATACTTATCAAGACAGGTAAGGACAGAAGAAATTATTTGAAACACAATGGCACAAGTCAGAGACATACAACCAAATGTAAAATAGATCACAAAGATACTAAGAAAGGAAAAATCGGAGGCACTGCAATTTAAGTAGGCTAATCTAGTTGCCTACTCTTGGTTATCACTTTATATCAAAACTACCCCATAGTTATCACTATGTAGCATTGTTACCTCCCCTTTGCTATCAGTATGTATACAAGTTAACCCCCCCCCCCCCTTGTTATCAGTATGTATACAAGATACCTCCCCTTGCTATCCCTTTGCTATCGGTATGTAGCATTATTTTTTCCCGTTGCTATCCGTTTTTTTCATAGTAACCTCCCCTTGCTATCAGCATGTATACAAGCTACCTCTCCTTGTTATCAGTATGTATACAAGTTACCTCCCCTTGCTATCTGTATGTATCCAAGTTACCTCCCCTTGCTATCAGAGTGTATATAAGGTACCTCCCCTTGCTATCAGTATGTATACAAGTTACCTCCCCTTTGCTATCAGAGTGTATATAAGTTACCTCCCCTTGCTTTCAGTATGTATCCAAGTTACCTCCCCTTGCTATCAGTATGTAACCAAGTTACCTCCCCTTGCTATCAGTATGTTTACAAGCTACCTCCCATTGTTATCAGTATGTATACAAGTTACCTCCCCTTGCTATGAGTATGTATACAAGCTACCTCCCCTTGTTATCAGTATGTATACAAGTAACCTTCCCTTGCTATCAGAATGTGTACAATTACCTCCCCTTGCTATCAGAATGTGTACAAGTTACCTCCCCTTGTTATCAGTATGTATACAAGTTACTTCCCTTGCTATCAGTATGTATACAAGCTACCTCTCCTTGTTATCAGTATGTATACAAGATACCTCCCCTTGCTATCAGTATGTACACAAGTTACCTCCCCTTGCTATCAGATTGTGTACAAGTTACCTCCCCTTGCNGTGTATATAAGTTACCTCCCCTTGCTTTCAGTATGTATCCAAGTTACCTCCCCTTGCTATCAGTATGTAACCAAGTTACCTCCCCTTGCTATCAGTATGTTTACAAGCTACCTCCCATTGTTATCAGTATGTATACAAGTTACCTCCCCTTGCTATGAGTATGTATACAAGCTACCTCCCCTTGTTATCAGTATGTATACAAGTAACCTTCCCTTGCTATCAGAATGTGTACAATTACCTCCCCTTGCTATCAGAATGTGTACAAGTTACCTCCCCTTGTTATCAGTATGTATACAAGTTACTTCCCTTGCTATCAGTATGTATACAAGCTACCTCCCCTTGTTATCAGTATGTATACAAGCTACCTCCCCTTGCTATCAGTATGTACACAAGTTACCTCCCCTTGCTATCAGAATGTGTACAAGTTACCTCCCCTTGTTATCAGTATGTATCTAGAGTTACCTCCTCTCTTTACTACTATATTACAGAGCTACTCATCTTCGTTATCACTTTGCATCAGTCCTACCTCTCCTCGTTATCACAATGTCTGAATTTGCGCCTTTTGTTTTCACTATATATCAGGGTTATCTCTCCTTGTAACTTCACTGTCATATGCATTAGAGTTAGTTACCTGCTTTTGTAACATATAATAGCTAAAATTGTTAATTGGCCGTAAAGCTTTGTGGTGTCAGAGCATATTGTCGTTTGTCATAATAATTTTGATTGGTACAGAAATGGAGTTGTTAATGATTTAAATGAGGATTTCAACAACTTCTGGAGAAAGATAAGGTGTTAAAAGCAAACCCCTTACAATACCAAGGATTTCTTACAGCTATAAAGGAGCATTGTAGTCGGTGTAACTTGACACATAAAATTTCCGAAAAAAATACAAATATATGCTTAAAAAGAAAAGATCAAAAGATTTTTATAACGTGCTTAGAAAAAATGATGTAATTGCAAGTTGGATAAAAAAACCTTGGATGAACAATTTGAATTTGATGAAAGCGATTGGAATATGATTTACAGGAACCTGTTCTCTGTAACAAAAACACAAAATTGCAATGGTACCAATTCATTGTTCATTTGCAGTGAATTTAATATAAAAATCTTTTCGCTTTGGTATTAAAATGGTCAGAATACAATAAACAGATAAGTGGATAATAAGATCATCTTCCCAATAATACATCTATAGATAGGTATTTGTATGGTAATGTATGAATATGTGTATCTATAGGTTTGTTTTATGCCATGTATATATTGAATATCAATGTAATAAAATTAGAAATTCAAAAAAATATAAAATAGCCTTAAAACAATACAAAAATAAATTGGATCTACCTGTCCTCGTTTTCAATATGTAACAGAGTTACCTCCCTTCATTATTATTATATACCAGAGTAACCTCCATCCTCTTCGTTATCACTACGTAAGTGCGGTGACAAATTCGTATATTTTTGTAAATTGATCGATAATATCGGGAAAAAGTGATCCACAACTTAACAAATACAACAGGTCTGAATGTAAACAAATACATGCTAATTCAAACATGTCCTATACAAAATACCGTCCACACCAAAAACATGTCCAATACAAAATACCGTCCACACCAAAAACATGTCCTATACAAAATACTGTCCACACCAAAAACATGTCCTATACAAAATACCGTCCACACCAAAAACATATCCTATACAAAATACCGTCCACACTAAAACATGTCCTATACAAAATACAGTCCACACCTAAAACATGTCCTATACAAAATACAGTCCACACCAAAAACATGTCCTATACAAAATACTGTCCACACCAAAAACATGTCCTATACAAAATACTGTCCACACCAAAAACATGTCCTATACAAAATACCGTCCACACTAAAACATGTCCTTTACAAAATACCGTCCACACTAAAACATGTCCGATAAAAAATACCATCCACACCAAAAACATGTCCTATACAAAATACCGTCCACACCAAAAACATGTCGTATACAAAATACCGTCCACACCAAAAACATGTCGTATACAAAATACCGTCCACACCAAAAACATGTCCAATACAAAATACCGTCCACACCAAAAATATGTCCTATAAAAAATACCGTCCACACCAAAAACATGTCCTATAAAAAATACCGTCCACACCAAAAACATGTCCTATACAAAATACCGTCCACACTAAAACATGTCCTTTACAAAATACCGTCCACACTAAAACATGTCCGATAAAAAATTCCATCCACACCAAAAACATGTCCTATAAAAAATACCGTCCACACCAAAAACATATCCTATACAAAATACCGTCCACACCAAAAACATGTCCTATAAAAAATACCGTCCTCACCAAAAACATGTCCTATACAAAATACTGTCCACACCAAAAACATGTCCTATACAAAATACCATCAACACCAATAACATGTCCTATACAAAATACTGTCCACACCAAAAACATGTCTTATACAAAATACTGTCCACACCAAAAACATGTCTTATACAAAAAACCGTCCACACCAAAAACATGTCCTATACAAAAAACCGTCCACACCAAAAACATGTCCTATACAAAAAACCGTCCACACCAAAAACATGTCCTATACAAAAAACCGTCCACACCAAAAACATGTCTTATAAAAAATCCCGTCCTCACCAAAAACATGTCCTATACAAAATACCGTCCACACCAAAACATGTCCTATACAAAAAACCGTCCACACCAAAAACATGTCTTATACAAAATACCGTCCTCACCAAAAACATGTCCTATACAAAATACTGTCCACACCAAAAACATGTCCTATACAAAATACCGACCTCACCAAAAACATGTCCTATACAAAATACCATCAACACCAATAACATGTCCTATACAAAATACTGTCCACACCAAAAACATGTCTTATACAAAAACCCGTCCACACCAAAAACATGTCTTATACAAAAACCCGTCCACACCAAAAACATGTCCTATACAAAAAACCGTCCACACCAAAAACATGTCTTATACAAAATACCGTCCACACGAAAAACCGAACGGCAAGTATAATCAATAGAGTCACAATAACATGGTATACAGAGTGGGGACATACATATTTGATATCCACAGAGCACAGAGGTCACTGAGGTCACTGATGTCTAGGTGCTCTCATGCATACATGCTATAATTGAGTGCTAATATGTCACATGCTTCAGTCAACTACCATATATATATATACCTAAAGTTGTCCATGGTAACCACATATATATATATATCTAAAGTTGTCCTTGGTAACCAACATATATATCTTATATCTAAAGTTGTCCTGGGTAACCACATATATATCTTATATGTAAAGTCGTCCGTGGTAACCAACATATATATCTTATATCTAAAGTTGTCCATGGTAACCACATATATATCTTATATCTAAAGTCATCCTTGGTAACCACATATATACCTAGAGTTGTCATTGGTAACCACCATCTATATCTAACGGTGTCCTTGGTAACCACCATAAATCAATAAATTTGTCCTTGGTATCCACCATACATCACTATCACATGATCATTATTTACCTTATGCTGTCCTTGGTAACCACCATACATCACTATCACGTGATCATTATTTACCTTATGCTGTCCTCGGTAACCACACTATGTATCTATATTTGTCCTTTGTAAGTTACCACAATATCAGCACGAAGTTGTCCTTGGTTACCACAATATCTACCTCAACTTTTCCTTGGTAACCATTAATACCTACCTCAACTTTTCCTTGGTAACCATTAATATCTACCTAAGCTTTTTCTTGAAATTTACCATATCTGCCAAATGCAGTTCTTTGTAGCAACCGTATCCGACATCTAACAAAACTAGTCCTTGTCAAATACCAATTTCCTAACGTTGTCCTTGGTAATGACCATATCTAGCTAACGTAATCCTTGGTGACGACCTGTGTTATACCACTAGATGATTTGTGACACCTCTGTGTTATACCACTAGATGATTTGTGACAGGTCTGCGTATACCACTAGATAATTTGTGACACATGTGCGTTATACCACTAGATGATTTGTGACACCTCTGTGTTATACCACTAGATGATTTGTGACACCTCTGTGTTATACCACTAGATGATTTGTGACACGTGTGTGTTATACCACTAGATAATTTGTGACACATGTGTGTTATACCACTAGATGATTTGTGACACACGTGTGTTATACCACTAGATGATTTGTGACACGTGTGTGTTATCCCACTAGATGATTTGTGACACCTCTGTGTTATACCACTAGATGATTTGTGACACATGTGTGTTATACCACTAGATGATTTGTGACACCTCCGTGTTATACCACTAGATGATTTGTGACACATGTGCGTTATACCACTAGATGATTTGTGACACCTCGATGTTATACCACAAGATGATTTGTGACACGTGCGTGTTATACCACTAGATGATTTGTGACACCTCCGTGTTATTTATCACTAGATGATTTGTGACACGTGTGTGTTATACCACTAGATGATTTGTGACACCTCCGTGTTATACCACAATATGATATGTGACACCTCTGTGTTATACCACTAGATGATTTGTGACACCTCTGTGTTATACCAATAGATGATTTGTGACACATGTGCGTTATACCACAAGATGATTTGTGACACGTGTGTGTTATACCACAAGATGATTTGTGACACGTGTGTTGTACCACAAGTTGATTTTTGATACACTTGTCATACCTCCATACTGCTAACGGGTGTTTCAATGTCCTGGAAGACATGCATTAAACTTGCTGTTTTTGTATCGTATTGTCTGACAGTGGAGTCTCCAGAACCTGTGTAAACTAGAGAATACAGAAGAAAGGAAGTAAGACGGAGAGCAACATCATGTCGCAGGTAGATTCAGGAAAGACAGCGAGAGCAATAGACCTGAAACTGAAAGATAAAGATACACTCATTCGTTCAAAGCGACATGTTTATATATCTAAACATGCACAAATATGTTTTCGATTCAGCTTTTACTTGATTCGCTATTTCATGAATATTCGCAAAGAAATAAGCATCTGAGTTTCTGAACTCCTTTATTTTATTTCGGCTGTCACATAGATGCATTTCAAAATAGACATCTAGCTTTGAACAAATAAGTATGACCTTAAATAGCTTCTTCCAAAGAGTTCATGTCGAGCTGGAGCAAAGACATGCAGAAAGAAATGCTGGAAGTTAAATGTAGTCTATAAATAGATTTAACGAACATTTAATGTAGACGACGAAAAAAGGCCCCTAGAACATGCAACTATTACAAGACTGACACACTTAACAGAATTTTACAACTTGAACTTTTCTAAAAAAAAACATAATTAAATTTGTTGTATAATTTTTAACTTCAATGAAATTTATCCAATCTGACACCCTGTGTGATCTTAATGTTTGTTCATGTGCTAGACATGGTATTAGAAAACATGGGTCTAATTTGATAGGTTTCATAGAACGGGACTTAACCTGCGTGGGATTAGACCGGATTATCTGTACTATAATATTGACCACTCCGTGACACTGTCACCATAATCCTACAGAGTTCGGATGGCATTCAAAAGACTGTAAATGCAATTGTCTACGGGTTGACTATTCAGCAGCTAGACTGAAGATTTCATAGAGGTTTTTGAGAACAATAAGTTTACTGACTTTTTAAAATTGTCAGCAGCTATGTTAGAAATCAAAAGAGCTATTTGAACTGTTAAGAACCTGTTTTAAGTAGATTTGTATTTCTTTGATGTCTTTGCGTACTGATCAGGGAACAACGAAGAGACCTGACCCAACTCCATTTGCAACACATGGGATATTTTGCCTAAGTTATTAACTATTCCATTAGTTCTCACGTGACAACTTGTCGTTATTGGATATTTATGTTGTGACGTCGTAACACAGTAAACACATCAGCTGTAGCAGCATCAGCTACATGTACCCATCGGCAAAATAGATACGCCCACAGATACATATAAACGTCATAATGGCTCATGAATATTCATATATAGTGCCTTTCCTCACTACGGATGTTATACCCTTTATAACCCACTGTATATCTATACGAAAAGTCGGAGGTCACTAATGAACAGAATATGCTGTTATTCCCATCTTTGACTGTATCTGTAGGTCACTAGCGACAATTAAAATCCCATTGCTTGATCAGGTGAACCGAACGGTACAGAAAGATATACCTGTTAGACGTCACCACATTGATGCGTTATTTAAATGTAACTGCTGTTAATGATAAATAATGAGGGGATTTGAAGCTATAGGTCAAAACAATTATCCAATTTAGCACTTGTCACAGTGGAATCTCCCAATAAACCTTCACCTATCATATAATGAGACCGTATAGACTCTGTGTGAATAAAAAAGGGACCGCGTGATCAAAGGTTTTATACTCACTGCAAGAAGGCTATGTAAAGTTTAATGAGGATAAGAACATTTTTATTGTATACTAACGGAATTTTCTGTGATGATCTACCACATATAGATACTTGCCCTAACACAATTGTTCGTCAAAATGGCGAAAACCTTCTTAAATGTGGCAGTAACCAAAATAGTGCACCAAACCAGCATTTTATTCAATCATTGAAAATACAGAGGATGAATTATATTATAATCTACGTTTGTTCTTATCAACGAAAAAAATGGGGGTTCATGTGAGTTAATTATTGAACAATCTGACGTCACCAATTAGCGTTTCCGGTTTTCGTAACTGTCAGTATCCAAAACGGATCACGGCTTGAATTCTACGATAATTTTTTGGAATTTTTATGAAACTTGTACAAGTTTTTCTATACGCTGAATTTACTCCTTCAGCCCAAAGCAAGAGGTATAGTCATCGTACGCGCCACTTGGAACAATATACATACAAAAACCCAATTAAAAATTAAAATCATAAGTTTGAAATACGTCTTCTGATGCTACTGGAACTTAAAAAATAATCATCTTTAGGACTTACTAGACTTTAGACAAAAAATGGTGCAGGGTGATGTATTATGTGGCGACATTATTGTAATAACTGAACTAATGACACAATTATTGATTGAAAAGTTGTTTTGCAAAAAGTGATCCCATTTGGGTACCGATCCAATTTGAGTCCACTCTCCTAACACATATCTGTTTACATGGCAAGAAAAACGTCTAGAAATCATTATGAAAAGGTACAATATCTAAGGGCAATACAAGACAATGTACTTCAGATGTGAAGTAAGTTTGGGAACACTAGTGACGGTCGGTAGGACGGACAAGAGGACGAACAGTAGAATAGAAGATACATCCACGGAATTAGATTAGATTGCTATCTAAGTCCGTGATACATCTTACAAAGCAGACTCGTTCAGCAGGAGAAAATTAGCTACAAGAGAGAAAGAAAACATGCATTATATATTATAAACAGCCAGGCACAGGGATAGTCAAGAGGTGTAGAGGTCACCAAGAAGTCACACGCTGAAAGGACGAATAAAAAAAAGATGAAGCAGCTTGACTTTCTGTTCACCTGTAAGGCGCTGACGGAGGACGTGCTGCCATTGAACTCCCGTTTCTGCGATCCTGATTTTGCGTCATAGCAACGGGCCATACCGTCACCACAGGCAGTGTAGACTGGAATTTTCAGAAGTAAAAGTGAGTTATTTGTTATCTTTAAACTGATTTTCACATTGAAAACACATCGATGTTGGTCTTATACTCCAGGACAAACGGTATTCAAGACAGTTCAAAGACTTTGTAACAACAAGAAACTGCGTATAGGAAAATAAACCTACCATGTACCTACTCTTTGTATCTACTCTCGGCTAGTCCGAATTATTCTGACGTTTATCGACTTTTTTCATATCGGTAGAACTCCGGCCCTCTATAACATGCGGGAAATATGCGACCCGCGCCCGGAGCGCACTTCAAACTGATATTTTAGAAACAAATCGTCACTTTCACACACATGTCGCACATGGATCGAAAGATCTATTCTTTATGCACTAGGTGGTATCAATAACATGTTTCAAAGATCATTACGAAAAGCATATTCCAACGTTTTCTATACCAACCCATGTTTTTTATGGAAATTAGGCCATGAGAAATGTCACATGACTTGACGAGATCTCGCGTTACCGAAGGTATTTCCCAACGTTATGACGTAGGCCGGCGAGATTTTAGTCACGTGGCATTGGAAGGCGGGGCTATCAAAAAACTAGAGTAAAACAGAGTAAGTTTGAAAAAATATGTTTTTAGTGATTGTATTAGTTGTTTGAGGCATGTTATGTATGTTCATCTAGTGCATAAAGAATAGATCTTTCGATCCATGTGCGATATGTGTGTGAAAGTGACGATTTGTTTCTAAAATATCAGTTTGAAGTGCGCTCCGGGCGCGGGTCGCATATTTCCCGCATATTATAGAGGGCCGGAGTTCTGACGTTAATCGACGACAGACTGATATGAAAAAAGTCGATAAATGTCAGAATAATTCGGACTACTCTCGGCTACCGTTACGCTTTGCTACGAAATACAAAGAGCGAGGCCTAGTGGAGAGAAATAACACTAAGGCAGGTAATCCAGTCCATAGATATTCACGATAATCAAAAAAGAAAGTGAATGGCTGTCATTTTGGTTTTTCACTTGAATAATAAAATAAATTAGACACTGGACACTTTTACTAAAAAGGCTGTATCTAATAATGTCCTGGGGTTAACGTTGCACTCACTGATGTTCTCTGAAACCGCTTGAAATTTGAGGATGCCATGGCAGTAAAATAGGAGCCAACGTAGAGTCCTCTTAAAACATCACACGATGACGTCACAAGAAACCGTATATGGCATGGCGTAAATGGGTTTTTTTGACACTCGAGTTTTCGAAATCGTCCGTTATCGTTGTACGGTATTAAAGGTTCTACGACGGCATACCTCCTAGGATTTATTCAATATTATCCGAATTCGTATGCAGCTTCTGAGGAATGCAAGCGTAATTAAATATTGGAGAGGGACTTTCCATCGAAGAAAACTGAGAAAACGACTAACCCAAAAACATGTGAAGCAATGACGCGTTTGTTAGTTACGTCACGACCGGTTTTATGTATTTATAGATACAGACTCTGATAACGCCGCGAACTTCTTTAGTTGTGATTCTTTGCTGGTGTCCTTCACTTTGGTGACGTTAACAGATAGTATAAAATATGGAGGGCCAGACAGAGCAAGAAGATAAAACTACGGAAGCCCATCAGTTCCTTTCACTGTGATGACTTTCATAACTTTACCCAACTATGAAAGACCAACCAGGTCAATGATATCGAGTATATAACTACGGCGTTCCTTGATCACTAGTCCTATAATTACAGTTTCAAAGTCAACAGCTTCAGTTCAATCCAGTAAACAGATATTCATTACATTTCTTGCCCTATTTCTAAGCCTGTCGGACAAATCTTTTATTTTATTTTTTCAAAGAATAAACAGAATATATATTTTACATCGACTTCGACAGCAATCTTAACGACAAACTGCAACGATGTGATATTGCATGGCTATCTTTAATATTCGTGTGGTTTCACATCTGTCGACTTGGGTTACTGTACACAATGTTTGTTTTTAGTGTACACACGTTATACTCCGTGCGATAAATTTTCCAAAACCAATCATCCGCTAACTTTTTTAGTGTATACACGTTACACTCAGTATGATTTTATTTTTTTTTTTATTTTTTTTTATTAAATCGGGCTTTTAAAACAAGGATAGGGCGAGATCATCGGCAGAACTATAACATCAACCGACCGTGCTGATACAGAACGTCATCTCTCACCTGGTAACGACACGGCTTCTCACCTGTGACAGGTATACAGATCTCGCCAGGTATAAAATCAATGAAAATGATTCAACACAGTATAAATAATTCCCCGTATTTTGAATACTATTTCCGTTGAGAATTAGTTCGGTCGAATCATGAAGGTTGTGTAGCTGCCTCGTGTTTCATCCAACATACTGTATTTCATGTCTCTGGTAAACAAATATTGTGTTTCAAAGACAGAAGATGCGATCTTACATAAAAATATTTATAATTTTCAAAAATTGAAAATTAATCTTCTGTCTGTCTGTTATGTGTAGACTTTAATATAAGAACACCAATGTTTATTTATTTTTTTATATTTTCTGTTAGTTAGCGAAACATTTTCGGTTGACTTAAGCCAAATAGAATCAAAATATTTGATAGGTTACACGAATCTTCTACAAATATGTTAAGCCCTGCCAAAAAAGTCTGATCAAAGACATCATATTTCTAATATATGCCATTGTATACCAGTGTGTATACCAGTTCTGATACAGTATACCGAAAGTACTGGTTTGTAGAAATGGAAACACAACTCTTTGATACTGACCTAGACCGTCTCTGACCTTGACGACGCTCACAGTGTGTTTGTGACCTTTATACACTCGGGTACAGTCTCCAAACTCGGTTACCCAAGCTCTTCCGGTGTGATCTGAACTTCCGGTGTACATCATTTTGTTGACAACCTGTAACAAAGTAATTTTACGTTAAAGTGGTATGTCTGAAGGCCCAAATATCTCGATTAAAACAAGTATAATTAGTGTCTGAAAACAACATTTTCGCTGTTCTACTGCAATATTCATCTTTCAAGAATATTATCTAATAAAACTCGATCAAGATAATCTTCTATCGATATATCTCTCCATTGGAAAGGATAAAGACCGGGTAAACTTGTACCAGTAGGCCGTACTATTTATTATAAACATCACAACATCGATGAGGTGAAGAAAGTGGAACATGGACCCTGAAGCAGCAGAACGGTCATTAACCTTTATATTTAAATTCAGGGCGCAACGAATCTCTGTAATCTTATATTTGTCAGTCAGTATTATCAACTTATATACCATGTATCAGTGTGAGTGGTTATTACATAATTCCTGGAAGTAGGAACATCTATCATATTGAACTCGTGCTAAAAGTATAAACGGTCGCTAATATTCCATACCTGTCGACATCATTCAAGTGGTTTGGTTGACGTTGTAGTAATATCNGGGGGGGATCGGAGACGTCATATAACATAATAATAAGGGACGTTGGGGATTTAACTGTCATATAAACCAAACAGGGTGGTTTGCACTCAATTAGCGGTATTGGACACAGGTTTGCTGGCATATCAAGCAAACGATGTACGTTTAGAGAGTATGATTTGACGCAGCAATCAATCCGCCAATAGTATGTTATATCAAACTTATCATACACATATATCTATCACAGTTTACATAAAAATATGAAAATCCTCTATGTTATTAAAATACGATTCCAAATATGTTTAGAGAGTATCATTACGTCACATACATTTTGAATATAACTTGCAAACATCTAATGGCAAAGCTTCTATATACATAACGCGAGTTCATATCTTTGAGTATATATTTTTTCAAAGCAGTGGTTAGGAGACCTAGAGTTATATTTGTTGCTAATGAAAGTCATTTGTTAACTTAGCAGACTAGTGGCTAATCTACCGTCACCCACAGGGACCTGAGAATTCAGAAACGATATTTGTTATGAATTCCATGATGGAAGCATTTAAACTTATTCGGTAAAGATATTTTACTGCCATTTGTCACACATGATTTCGAAAATGACGCGTTTTAGTTGCAAAGTTACCAGTACGTTTAAAACCTCTACTATATATACACAAGTACTGAAGATCGTGTGATTTCGTGTATGTTGTATTTCGAGATTTTTCCTCCATTTTTCCTTGGCGAAATGAAAGGCTCTTTGTCCCATTGGAGGCAAACTAATAGGGAGTTCCTAGGTAGTTTTTCATACACGTTAAACTGTTTCTTCAATTCGTTTTGGATATAACTTTCTGCAAGGGGACGGGTTAAGCGTACTGAGTTGTATAGGTAGCACAGGTGGTAAGAGTGACAGAGGTCCAGGGTTCGAATCCGGATTTGGCCCCTTTTTATATTCAGTACACTCTTGTTAATCTTGTTGTTGCGAAACGTGTTAACTATGAACAAGACAAATAGTAAATCTGAACTTGGTATTCCAGAGAGACCTCCACATTCTAAAGGCTATTTCAATGTTAATTGCTTTGAAACGTTTCCAATATTCCCTGTTTACATAAGAGACAATGCGACATACATATGGGACGGTTGTCATACCAAACAGCTTTCAGCAGCTGAAACAAGATACCCATGCATTTATTTGTCTGAAGAAAACCATACACAATTGTTTCTATACACAGAACTAAAATTGGATACACGACTTCTTGTTGATCCAATACTCAAGACTTACTTCTATCCACGGGACATTAACATTCTTTGTCCCCGATGAACACCAGAACTACCTCCGCAAACAGTGGAAGTCAGGCAACGACAACACGGCCTAGTAGCCATTGATTTCTGTGTAAAGCCCGACCTCACGCGGAGCGTAAACCCGAACCTAAGTCGAGTATTTCACAATCCTTGTCACAAGTTCGATAAACTTTCCATTCTCAAGTGGTTTTGGGTACCTTGATCATTGTAGATTTCCCCCTATCGTGTATATATATAACGTATGCAGTTTTAGAGAGTACCTCCTGTAGGCTCGCCTCTCATCTTAATTGTAATGTACTTGTATGTGGTTTTAGGGTTCGCTCCTCTAGACTTTCTTTATCTTGTATTATTTACTCTCCTGTGTAAGTTATGTGATTTAGAGAGTATCCGGTGGGATAACCTCTCTCCTGTGTTACAGTTAATGTGATTTAGAGAGTACCCTGTGGGATAACCTCTCTCCTGTGTTAGAGGTATGAGATTTAGAGAGTACCACATGGGATAACCTCTCTCCTGTGTTAGAGTTATATGGTTTAGAGAGTACTCTGTTGGAGAACCTCTCTCCTGTGTTACAGTTTATGTGTTTTAGAGATTACCCTGTGTGATAACCCTCGCCTGTGTTAGAGTTTTATGGTTTAGAGAGTACCAAGTGGGATAACCTGTCTCCTGTGTTAGAGTTATGTGCTTTAGAGAGTACCCTGTAGCATAACCTCTCTCCTGTGTTAGAGTTATGTGCTTGAGAGAGTACCCTGTTGATGACCTCTCTCCTGTGTTAGAGTTATATGCTTTAGAGAATACCAAATGGGATAACCTCTCTCCTGTGTTAGAGTTATATGGTTTAGAGAGTACCAAGTGGGATAACCTCTCTCCTGTGTGAGAGTTATGTGCTTTAGAGAGTACCCTGTTGATGACCTCTCTCCAGTGTTAGTTATGTGATTCAGAGAGTACCAAGTGGGATAACCTCTCGCCTGTGTTAGAGTTATATGGTTTAGAGAGTACCAAGTGGGATAACCTCTCTCCTGTGTTAGAGTTATGTGCTTTAGAGAGTATCACATGGGATAACCTCTCTCCTGTGTTAGAGTTATATGGTTTAGAGAGTACCAAGTGGGATAACCTCTCTCCTGTGTTAGAGTTATGTGCTTTAGAGAGTACCAAGTGGGATAACCTCTCTCCTGTGTTAGAGTTATGTGCTTTAAAAAGTATCACATGGGATAACCTCTCTGCTGTGTTACAGTTATGTGATTCAGAGAGTACCCTGAGGAATAACCTCTCGCCTGTGTTAGAGTTATGCGGTTTAGAGAGTACCATGTGGATGACCTCTCTCCTGTGTTAGTTATGTGATTTAGAGAGTACCACATGGGATAACCTCTCTCCTGTGTTAGAGTTATGAGATTTAGAGAGTACCATGTGGATAACCTCTCTCCTGTGTTAGAGTTATGTGATTCAGAGAGTACCATGTGGATAACCTCTCGCCTGTGTTAGAGTTATGTGGTTTAGAGAGTACCATGTGGATGACCTCTCTCCAGTGTTAGTTATGTGATTTAGAGAGTACCATGTGGATGACCTCTCTCCTGTGTTAGTTATGTGATTCAGAGAGTACCATGTGGATGACCTCTCTCCAGTGTTAGTTATGTGGTTGAGAGAGTACCATGTGGATGACCTCTCGCCTGTGTTAGAGTTATATGGTTTAGAGAGTACCAAATGGATTAACCTCTCTCCTGTGTTAGAGTTATGTGCTTTAGAGAGTACCAAGTGGGATAACCTCTCTCCTGTGTTAGTTATGTGATTTAGAGAGTACCATGTGGATGACCTCTCACCTGTGTTAGAGTTATGTGATTCAGAGAGTACCATGTGGAATAACCTCTCGCCTGTGTTAGAGTTATGCGGTTTAGAGAGTACCATGTGGATGACCTCTCTCCTGTGTTAGAGTTATGTGATTCAGAGAGTACCATGTGGATGACCTCTCTCCCGTGATAGTTATGTGGGTTAGAGAGTACCATGTGGATGACCTCTCACCTGTGTTAGAGTTATGTGATTCAGAGAGTACCATGTGGAATATCCTCTCGCCTGTGTTAGAGTTATGCGGTTTAGAGAGTACCATGGGGATGACCTCTCTCCTGTGTTAGAGTTATGTGCTTTAGCGAGTACCAAGTGGGATAACCTCTCTCCTGTGTTAGTTATGTGATTTAGAGAGTTCCATGTGGATGACCTCTCTCCAGTGTTAGTTATATGGTTTAGAGAGTACCATGTGGATGGCCTCTCTCCAGTGTTAGTTATGTGATTTAGAGAGTACCACATGGGAGAACTTCTCGCCTGTGTTAGAGTTATGTGATTTAGAGAGAACCGGTCTAGAAGACAGGAAGCTTGTGACCACATGCCCTAATGAACAATGTGTGGCATTCCCACTGGATCTTTTTTAAGATGTACCATTAAGGTTTATGGTAAAGTTTGGTTTTGGACGAGCGGTCTATTTTACACAATCCTGATGGATGGTCAATCCTTCTCCATCCTAGGACTTTTCAGCTCAGGCACTCCAATCATCTTAACCATAATAGCTGTCAACATAGCGGAAACATCAAACCATGCTAAATTTGTAAAACGATGGCTGACGATTGAACTAAATTGATCGGTTCAAGTTTATCGTATAATGTTTGTAAACGCCGCGTGAATAAAATTGAGAAAGAATCGGCATTGAAATTTACCATTGCTAAAAAAAAGTTTCTATTTTTAAAATGTCTTTTTAGGAAATTTAAGAAAATATGAAAAAAATCCAAATAAACTTTGCGACAAAAATACATTTGTGTGTTGCAAAAAGTGCAATTCATTCAACATTACCCTTTATAATGAATATGTTAAACAAAAAGTTTCTCTTTTTGGAAAATTGTCTTCAATGAAATGCTTTGCACTTCATACTGAAATGATAATTGCCTGAGCAATCAATGCGACTTGTATTTATCAGGTCAGTTGATCTGACATTTCAAGTCCGCCAACACAGCGACAACCGTCCGGATAAACGGCCGGCTCCTAATTACTCTGAATTATAGCTGCCTGGAGGTAAATAACTTATTTCAAACGTACCTCCTACCATCAACTGACACGGACGGTTCATCTACATGTATTCTATAGGTGATAACAGATGGCATGATCTCATTAAATTAACCCAATCAAACAAAGCAAAAATTGAATTAAGTTCATATAAAATTTAA